TATGAGCTAGTCGATTCGTTTGGCGATAACAGAGTGCTATATAACCACGCCTTTAGTGGGATGGAGTCCCAAAGGGCTTTTTGTGGGGCCCCAATTATAATGAAAATTACTTTATTAAAAACTACTTCTTCACTCTATAGAGGACAAACATAATGTTGACTTTACACTAAAATTACTCAAGGGCTCTACCAAAGCTGATGTGTATTATGAAGAGTTGAGAGAGAGAGAGAGAGCACTTGATTAAGGTGTTATATAGTTTGTGTATTAAAGTTTTGAAAACTTGATCAATCATGCACTTTCTACTGACTAAAACTACATCATATATCTAAAGGTACACATAAACATAAAAAAATTGGTACTATGGGGAATAAATCTCATGATTAAGGTTTAACAGTTAAATTGTTAGTGCCTATTAGAGAAAGAAACGTTTTATGATTCATATAAGCTTAACTATTTAGAACAGGCTTATTTTTTAGTTTTGTTTATGTATAATCAATTAAACAATACATATATAATAGTCGAAAACAATAGTAATAGTAAGAAGATTTCAAACCAACTTACGGGTAATATGCGGTATAAAACAATTAATATAAACTCATAATTTGCTTGTCCTTATCCCAATTATTTATTTTGGGTCGTTGCAATATGTATCCTTCTTTCACATATCTCGATGAGCCGTCATCTCATCATTCACACTCTTATATCATCTTTCACACAGTACATCCATCTTTTCTTCAGTCTTCCTCTCTCTACATTTCATTCCACAACCATAAACTTTTTTATATATAAACCTTTGTAAATAAATATAAGCTATATACATACAATTATTCATTGCTTATTTATTACATTATTATTTACAATAATGTTTCCTTTATTTTTATAGAAATCAAACTATAAATATAATTTTCCTATAGCTTTAATAACAACACGGTCTTTATCAGGCAAACAAACTGTATCCACCCGAGGGTTTCCCGTACATATATCAATAAGTATACATATGTGTGTCCACTATGTTTAATGGTGAATGTTATCACTTGTTATTCAGTCAATAGTGTTACTTATGGCCGAATGGACATTGTCGTGAAGTTATTTTTTAATATATACTTTTTAAAATTTTGTTACAAGTGAACTGTGATACTTCATTATTGCTTGATGTGTGTGAAGCCTTGTGTTCATATAAATGCATTTCACACAAATAAATCAAAAGATTAGACGATTCAGCTCAAATTAAAATTCAGAAACCGTTAAATACAATATCTACTTATCTAATATTGGATTTAAATTTGATTCTTCAACCAAAACTAAAGAGCTCCGAAAAATATAAAACGCATATTGTTATCGTGGTTTATTTAAGTTACTGACAGGATATTTATATAATATTATATCAATCTAATACTCATACATACAAAGCGCCTGAGCTTTCGAAAATCGATGTAATTAGTCAAGGACATTCAACAACTTCAAGAAGCACTCAATATCGATTGTCTCTAAATAAAATCTATTGATATGATTTTTACATTTTCACTATTTCTAATTTGGAAAAAATATCCTGAAAGAACTTGTATAAAAAATATAAATAGTTCAATTACTTTTGTTGGTTATTATTGTTATGAATAGACTTCTTTTCTTACTAATGCAAATGAACACAAATGATAATTATGCCATTTTACGTTAGACAGAACTGTTACAGTTAATCGTCATGTGAGAAACTACTGAAACTAAGTTGTTTGACCTTGCCCTAAACTTTAAATTCAAACTAGTGATTAAATGAATAATTAAAATAAACACATCATTATTTATTTTACTAAGAAAACTTGGTTATATTAACACGATGCCAAAAGAGGTTAAAGAAGCTACATTCCTGAAATGGAACAAAGAAGAAGTTGGTTATTTGAAAACATTCTATGCCACTGCTAACGTCAAGAACGCAGCGGAAACATGGAAACGAAAGTCCGTGTCTATCCTATCACCGAAATCAGGTAGGATATTAAGACATAAGAGCAAACGTAATACTGAAGACAAGAAAGCTAAACAAGAACAAAATGTCAAAGATGGTGGTTTCTTCACAAGACTGTTCGACGATTTCAAAAAATCCAAAATATCTGATTTCGAATATCAACAGTCTAAAGTACGCGAGAATACTGCTTACAAACCTTTTTGGGCAACAAAAGTGGTCGGTGCCAAAGAGAAGATTGAAAAGGATGAAAAAGAAGTAACAATAAAAACCATTAGTTATAGCGAGAACATTAATGCTGCCACTAACAAAGCGTTAGTTTTTGAACGTGAAACTTCTCCGCAAGTGAGAAGTAAGATTTTTAGCAGAAGAATAAGTGTGAACAAACCTAAAGAAACTCCTACAAAGATTTGGTCGACAGTAGATCTGCACAATGAATACACGTTGAAACTACCTCCTAGCTACAACGGTAGTAAAATGTATATGCCTACTGGAGAACAATTGTTTTGGGTTTGTCATTTATCTAATATATAAGCTTATTTCTAATATATAAAATTCTCGTGACACAATTTTAGTTACCACACTCTTCTATATTCATATGTCTGAGCATAGGTTGTTATCTATCTTTTATACCCGTAAGTGATAGGGGTGATTCATCCAAAATTTATATGACAAAACAGCTTTGCCGACTCTGCTAATATTTATTTGTTTAGCATTTCGCAAGAGGCTTCGTGGTCTCTATAGATTCGTTTAATGGGATAAAATTAGCCTTATGTTCATTGAGATTCAGAATTTATTGGTAATCCAAATTTCATCAAAATACGTTAGTAGATCAAAAAGTCCTCACAAACTTTCGCATTCATAATATCTGTAGAGTTATAACTCTGTGTACGCTTTTATCATCAAACATAAATATAAAAACTAACATGAGAGATATACGTCCCTTTTCCAATTCTAAGAATGTCTGATACATTGCCAACGTTTTTATAACATCGTGTATTAAACTACACACAAAGTATGCACTAAACGAAATTGATAATGACATCGGAATAGAACTCAGAAATGAGCTAATACAGTAAAATGGTTTTTTATCTATGTAAACTCGTACGTATTAACTTGGCACCTGAGGGCCTATTCTATTTGTCCTCAAACGAAAATTAGGGAAAAGTTATATCCATGAAGAAAATCTGTGCATCAGAGGCAGTGTCAGGTCCTGCGTCCGTTGCATCATAAATTAACCGAATAATGCGTTTCCTTGGAGTCGCATTAGCCTTTCGAAAATAGACGAAATATCGTTTTCGGAGAAATAGAATAGAACTTCATGTGTCATGTTAATTCGTACGAGTAGTACTAATATTAGAAATAAATTTTTCTAACTTAAGTTGTTTGTAGGGGTAATCTACCTAAATACTGATCCGATCTTGAAAACTGTTACATCTACGGGAAGCTACATACGCGGTTGAAATAGGCTATAATCTACGCGGGCGAAGTTGCGGCAAAACAGCTAATAATTTTATATAATTTCCGGTCTTCTCTGCTTCAGAAAGTAAAACTAAGCTGCAGGCATCCTCACCCAGCAATCCGTTCATCTGGATTTCTCTCACATTGTAAAACAGTCATTAATAGGCTGAGGCTTTCCCAACACAAATGTCATTAGACTACTTTCTGAGAAGCCCCGGCCACATATACATATACAAATATGTGGCCGGGGCTTCTCAGAAAGTAGTCTAATGACACTTTTACAAATGTGGCCGGTGCTTCTCAGAAAGTAGTCTAATGACACTTATGTTGGGAAAGCCTCAGCCTATTAATGGATTTATTGAAATAAAATACTTTTCTTTTCTTTCTTTTCTGATGATTTGTAATTAATAACTTGGCTGTTCTTTACGTTACGCTCACAATTAAACAATCATATTTTGTCGACAACACAATGTCCGTTCCTGGGGGTTCATTTTTAAGGGTTAGTACTTATGTGACGGAAGATGCGTCGCGTCTATTCGATCATGGAACGTTAGATCTGACTAATTATATGCCCTTGTACACAAGGAAATTTTACAGTGTCCTACGCATCTTTATTAGAGACTCATGACGGATCTTTCGTTAAATTTGCACTGACCCCTTACATTCGCATGTTTATTGATACAAGGAGCGATCAAAGGTTTCCGGTAATTAGTATAAAGTAGCCGGTATTTTTTTTATGACTTATTAATCTATAACATTTGTGGTAAAATTCGAGTGCTAATTATTACTTGAGATTTTTTACGATAATTTGAATTTGGATTTTCACAGTATTATGAATAAAATGGATAAAACTGAATCCGCGCTGCGAATAAATTTATTTTTTATAAAAAAAAATACGTTGAGAAAACGTTGAAAATATAATCATAATACATTTTTCATTTCATTACCCGATACTTTTTGATCGCCCCTCATATTATTCTTATAGAAAATTATGTATCTTATATTAACTGTTATTGTGTATTCCCGCAACTTCGTCAGGGTATATTGTAATTAATCTATGTCACTCGCGTATGATTTAGCTTCCCGTAAAAGTGGAAAAAATTTCATGATCTGAACAGTATTTCCGAAGACTACCAACAGACAGATACAAAATTAGAAACCGTACATTTTTTACAATATTACTATAGATATATTGTCTCATTGAAACTTCAGCTATGAAACGCGATAAATAGGCGACACGTAAGAAAGAAGGGTAGTAATGCGTTGAGTCCGTTGACTTCAATATTACTTCAAGTTCCACTTAAATCATTAAGTTATTAAGTTACTTTTTCGACATTCTCGATACGACTTTCGAAGAATTACTACACCTTACATATCGACCAGTAGTATTATATCTCGTCCACTAAACTTAAACTTTTATAATATTTTTCCACTTTTAGCAAGTTACTAACTGTGCTTCAAGAATTTCTTCTGCTTAAAGCAAGTTATGAACTAAGTTTTGAGGATATATTATCATTCATCGCAGACCAGAAACTAATCGGAATTCATTAGACATCTCTACAATGTATAATATTTCTGATTACAGCTAGGCGAGACCCGTCCATCGTCATTCGGTCCAGCGACATACCAGGATTTCAAGGACATCAGGTCGCGGTGCTTAGCTGAAGGCAGACTGTTCGATGACCCTGAATTCCCGGCCGTGGACCGCAGTCTCTACTACAAGGAGAGATTGGATAGGCCCATCACCTGGCTTAGACCTGGGGTGAGTTGTCATTACATTATCTCATAGATAGATCGACTTTACCGTGATCGTACTTCAATAAAACCTCTTAACATTTGGATTTGCATTGCATAAGATGCGTTTGTTTATCAAAGGGTTCCGTACCATTATCCCTAAAAACGCAAATAAAAAGGTTTGTTGTAATAGCCTCTCTTAAATGTTTATAATATTCTAGTTTTATTTAATTTATTGTAATTTTTACTTTTGTTTAACTGTTAAGCTGTCACGTTTCATGAGACAGACATACGAACAGGGGAGTCTTAGTAATATGCCGTTACCGTTTTTACCCTTTGAATACGGAACCCTAAAAGAAAAAACAGAAAAATAACAATTCGGAAATTAGAAACATTCAAATCCGGAAACAGTATCATTCGCCACTAATTTGAAAAAAAAATGTATCTTTTTCATTTTGCTAAAAGATACATTTTACAGTGCTCAAGTTTTACACAAGTACAGTGTAATTAATAAACAAGATTTAACGTCGGAGTAAATTTACGCTGAAACTGCACTTAGTCATGTCAAAATCCATATTATTAACAAGAGACTTAGCAGAGGTGAACCTAATACGAGTTTGTACGGGAGTAATAGATTTACGATTAGTTGCACAAACGTCCATTAAGGTTTAATGGCGCCTTTAAGCTCTAATTAATATTTTATTTGTATGGGTAATGTCGCTTTCAACTAATGAACATTTTAATGGATGCTTGTGCAACAGGCTGTTATTCTCTGTATAATATGAATTTGGACTTATATTTAAATTAATTAGTAAATTTATTCTGACGCTAAACCTTGTTTATTAATATTACTGTAAAAGTTAAAAAAATACACTTTCTTTTATAATTGTGTATTGTTTCAGGAAATTAGCGACAATCCGCAATTATTCGTGGAAGGCTACAGTCGCTTCGATGTACAGCAAGGAGAGCTGGGCGACTGTTGGCTACTGGCCGCCGTCGCCAATCTTACACTTCACAGAAAGTAAGACTTTTATGACTAATGATTTTTCAATGATACGTATTTCTCCTTTCGTGCTACGTCCGTAGGTCCCGGGTTTGATTTCCTGTCGGGTCAATGTAGAAAATTAACTTATCTATGTTATCTCGAGTCTGAGTGTTATGGCACCTTCGTTGTTTCAGATATTCATAATAAAAGTGCTAAAAACTACTTAATTTGGGTTCTGAGGAGTGAATGTGTGATATGTAGTGTAATATCTAGTATTTATAATATGTTACATGTTTGTAGTCGTCTAACTAATTAAATGTCAAAAATATTTTTTAATTAATTACTCGCAAAAATTATCGTATAGTTGTCTCAAAATAAATAAATTGGTAAAGAAAGTTTCTTTTCTATTGTTGGAATAGAAACGAGACTTTCGTTCAATGTTATTTCTTTTAAAGAGTAGTGTCTACCTACCATTAGTGATAATTTAAATTAGTTTTTGCTTAAAATACAATAATGACTAAGTATCATTTCATCTAGAAGTTAGGGAAACCATTAATTATAATTAACATATAAATAATGATATAGATATAATAGGTCCTATGAAACTATGAAATTGCCGGCCATTTCAAATCGAAATATATATTTTTTTAATTTGAAATGGCTTATAAAAAAATATTTTTTTAGAAAAAAATACGCTTCATTTATTTCATGGAAAATGGCAATTACACAGTGCAAAGACCTGATATATAAATGAATCACCAAAATGTATGTACGCGCATAACTTCCAAATTTTTTGGTTTGTATATAAGAAAATTTTTAAAAGATGTTATTTATATTTAAAAAAACGGGTATATGGCGGTTCGCTGGGTCGAATAGTAAAATATATAAGTTATAGAAGCTGTCAAAACTTCAGATAACTGTTAAGCTAGTTGAAAAATTAATCCATTTTTATCAAAGCTTTTTATAGTTTTATTCCTTACGGTATTCCGAATCGTACTGTCATATTTTTCATGGAATTTTCAAAAATAATAACCAACTTCACAGTTTGTTTCTGGTCTTTGTTAATTATGATATCAAAATTGGATATGATTCTTAAAAAAAAAATCTATTGAAATTTATATATCGACACTAGAAAGCAAACACGTGGTAACCTGCAAAACCGATATATATATATATATAACCGTCGATATTTTTAATTTGATAATTACACAGTTGTTTATATTGAAGTCTAAGAATTATTATTTGATAAACATACATTGCATTCGTCTTCCGGTACGTCCCTCACGTAAATTATCATTTTTTTGTTTTCCAATATTGCATAAAAGTTATACACGAAACTCTTATCGTTCCAATAACATTTATAAAAAATAATACTCAGAGCTTGATCTCTAAAAATGAATTCTCAGCGCTTGATCTCTTTAATTTGTCAATTAATGTATTGAAGACGAAGTTAAAAGATATTCTATGTAATTAGATAATTTGAAAAATCATTATTTTGCCGGATGTTTTTGCTTTATACGAGGGTCAAACTGAAAGTTCTTAGAACTGGCCACTTATAAACAATATAATAAAAAAATAATTCTAAAATTTGAAAATATAACTCTTTGCCAATATTACTGAGTATATATTTCATTCATTTGTCATTTGTTTTACGATTTGGCGGCAAATTGAAAATTGTCTGTGTCACGTCATCATGAATTTAACACAAGAAAATTTTCGTGCAATGATTTTTTATGACTTTCGATGTCATTTAAGTTAACAAGAAAGTTATGATAGACTACGATTGGCCTTTCACGATGAAGCCCCATCTCGTGCGACTGTTTACAACTGGTTTAATGAGTTTAAACGTGGTCGCACTAATCTCACTGATGATTTACGTGAGGGACGGCCTTCTACGGCGACGACTGAAGATAACATCTGTGTTGTGCGGCGTATGATAGAGACTGACAAAAGAGTGACCTATCAACAGATTCGGACAAGCTTAGGCATCGGTATGAGTCAAGTGCACAAAATCCTCCACGAACATTTAGCGGTCAGGAAGCTTTGCGCCCGGTGGATACCTCATAATTTGACTGAGGCTCAAAAACTCCATCGTGTGGATTGGTGTCGTAAAATGATTGAAAGATTTAACGGAGGTGACTCAAATGCTGTGTTCGACATACTAACAGGTGACGAAAGCTAGATTTACTGTTATGATCCTAAAACCAAAAGACAATCTGCTCAGTGGGTGTTTCCTTTCGAGGAGTTGCCAACTAAAGTGAAGAGAGATCGAAGTGCGGGAAAAAAAATGGTGGCCTCGTTCTTTGGAAGGATAGGTCATTTTGCAACAATTGTGTTAGAGGATCAAAAAACAGTTTCTGCAGAATGGTACACTACCAATTGTTTGCCACTTGTCTTGGAAAAAGATCGAGAGAAACGACCTCGCAGTAGGATCCTCCTTCACCACGACAACGCCTCGTCGCACACCGCCAAGCGAACGATCGACTATTTGGCGACATCAAACGTTGAATTACTGGGTCACCCGCCGTATAGCCCCGACCTCGCGCCTTGTGATTTTTATTTATTTCCAAAAATTAAAGAAAAACTTAAAGGAAAGCGGTTTATGAATGCTGAAGAAGCGGTGGCTGCGTATCGCGATGCCATTGAAGAGACCCCTAAGGACGAGTGGGCAAAGTGCTTTTCCCAGTGGTTCCATCGCATGCAGCGGTGTATTGACGTGAATGGACAATATTTTGAAAAGATATAATAAAACTAATAACTGGCTAATGTAATCAGTTTTTGATTTTCTAAGAACTTTCAGTTTGACCCTCGTATGTATGCGTATGTGTTATGATGTAGATTCTTAAGTTTATTGAATTCAAAAAATATTAACATATAGGTACTATTGGTCTGTAATATAAAGCACGTTTAATCATACACAATTTGTTAAGTAAATGACTGTTTGATACCAAAATAAATGAAAAGAAAATACAGAGAACCTTCGCCCGACTTTATGTTTTAAATGTAAATTTAATAAAAGTATAATTATGAAATTACTTATATTGAAAAAAATGATCAAGTATATGTTCATTATTTCATAATTCATAGTGTGTTAATTATTTTTTATCAACTCGTGTTTTTCATTTAACTACATATATTTGCCTTAATTAATTTTAACGTTAATTAGATCAAATGTATGCAGTTCCAAATGTGGTTTACTTTAACTAAAGTTCGGGAATTCCAAAAACCGTGAATAATTTTATTATAACCTAATCGATTTAATAACTTATAAATTTAAAATAATTATACAAAGTAGGTAGATAATGAAAAAAAATCAAGTAAAACTTTACCTGTTACATTTTTAAGATGCTTAATGAAAAATGCTTAAAACATCAACTTTGTACCTATAAATCTAATAACAATATTAATATTTATTTATTTCTTTTACATTTTGAGCAACACATGTGTACAACATACAAATACAGCAAGTTTATGTTAAAGACAGGAGTCCAAACTAGATAGACCTCGTTCTCTGGCACTCCTGGTTTCCACCTCTCGAATTAATAAACACTGTCATTTTTAAAGAAAAGATTTCTAAACAATGAAGAGCAGAGAAAGTATCACCTCAAGTGTGATATGGAGTGAGACCGCATGCAAGCTGATGTGTGCATTTTTGTGCTTGTGTGTAAGTGTATGTGTTTATAGTAAGAGAGTATGTGTGTGAGTACGTACATATAATTGTCCACCCATTTCCATATCTATTAAATCTTTATGCGCTAATTTTCAAAATATCTTCAATCTCATTGTTATTTAGACTTAGAAGGTATGCTGTTACTACATCCTTACAATTATGCCTTGTCTTGGGATATATTTCCACCAATCTTTTGAATTCATTTTATAATTTACCACTAAAAAAAGGAATGAAGTTATAAGCGTAAGATTAGTTCTGTCTTAGATGTGGTCCTAGCACATCTAAGACAGAACTAATCTTACGCTTATAACTAAGTGTCTCCTTCTAGTTTTAGACCTCGAATGATCATTATCAAATGTTATAAGGAAAAGTTGTTTAAGATGATATTTATAAAGAACAATTGTCTAAATGTCACTGCCTTCGAATCTCAGTATATTTCTGCTATCGGATATAGCATAAACTTAAAGAAACTATTTTTTAATATCAGTCTTTGAGCTATTTCTAATTGTAGAATATAGGTTTTTGATGCCCATGAAGAAATACCGTATACTATCACCGATTAACAGAGTGTTAGGTAATTGTACTTTCTTTGTCCACAACAGAAGAAAACAAATGTGAGTTTTCTTATCTTTGTTTTTCTTATATAAATGATGTGTTAAGTTTCTTATATATAGTGATACCTAAATATATAATACTGTCTGAAAGAATATTTCAGGACATGGGCAGACTGTCGAATAACACGAGTATGCATATCGATTATAGTTTTTGGGTCACGTATAGAAAAGGCAATATATTTGGTTTTTGTAATAAGTATTAAGGGTCAAAAAATGGAGGTCCAACCAGTGGCATACCAGATCAAAACCCCTCTGAGAAAAACTGTACACTTCACTCCAGTTTTCTCCATAAAAAGTAAGAATTGTGTCATCTGCATATGCAATTATTGCACAGTTTTCCAGACTTAGATTGCAGTGGTCATTTATGTAGCAGATAAAGTGTGATGGACTCAGAACGCTGCCCTGTGGTACACTAAACGTCACAAGGTCGTCCCCACTAATTAAATAACCAATCTTAACACATTGAGTGCGATTCAGCTTGTCAAATAACACTGGAAAAGAAACTGCATCAAAAGCTTTAGCTGAGTTTAAAAATATGATGATGCATTTCTTTTTTTCGTCTAGTTTTGTAGCTATAAAGCCAATACAATTATTAAGTGCAGATTTACCAACTCGAAAACCAAACTGATTTTCAGCTAGCAATTTCTTACAATACAATACATAAATTCTTTATTGTACACACCATTGTTCATAAAATTATGTCGGAATAATAGTATACAAGGGCGGCCTTATTGCTTAAAGCAATTTCTTCCATAAGTTGAGTAATCTTTTATGAATAATTTTCTCCAAGACTTATTATGAGCCATGCTTTCACGATATATATTTTTTATTTTCAGATTGTTCTTCCAAGTGGTTCCAGACGACCAAAGCTTTGATGAGGAATACGCTGGTGTATTCCATTTCCGGTAATATTTTTTAGATTTTCATTATCAATCATTAAAAATGTATGCGCTACGAATTCCCAATCTCCTAACTTTTAAAATATGTTTCGTGACCATGATATTCATATTTAGATATATTGGTAAGATAAGACACAAGTAATTAAACTATGTATATACAGTTGCTATTAAAGGCGCATCGTTAATAAAAATACGCAAAATTTGAAAAACGGCTTAAAAGTTTTAGTATTTTTTTTTTTATTCTCTTTATCTTATAAATGTCAATGGCATGCGACTTTTTTTTACACATGATTAATTCATATTATTAATATTGATATGGTAATAACATGTTCTACTTCTATCAGAGCTGGTAAGTTTCGTTCGTTCTTCTCATCAGCCAAAAGAGGTCCTGAACGAAGGGTAGATTTAAAAAATGTCGGACGATTCAAAAGTATACTAATAAAATCTTCAGGTTCTGGCAGTACGGCAGATGGGTGGACGTGGTGATAGACGATCGTCTGCCGACCTACCGCGGCAAGTTGGTGTTCCTTCACTCATCAGAGAACAATGAATTCTGGAGTGCTTTACTGGAGAAAGCATACGCTAAGTGAGTGGTTTTTTTATGTTTAATTATTATAATAATATTATTGTAGTTGTTTTCTCGTGACTTCGCCTAATATAAAATAAAATGTATTTATGTGTTCCCCATTTACCGTGTAAGCAAAAAAAAATTGTAAATCATATTATTTCTTTGGTATAAAGTTAGCAGTAACTCTACTTCACATTAAGCAGTTGCTAAATAGGTGTGACTAAAAAGTATTTAGTATTAATACAACCTTTTTACTATTAATAAATGAATATTTTCTAATACCTTTAAACAAAAAATTCAATCTGAATCTCGGAAAGATCGATAAATTTATATGTTAGCGATAAAGATTGATAACTTCGATCAACAATAAAAAGCTATCTTGGATTCCAACATTTTTCATTTCTTTATTTGTATATTATTTATCCTTCGTTGTATCAGAAACGTCTACAGTTTGTTTGTCCTTGTGGTAGATTGTTAAAAAATATTGATCAAGTTTGTTTTTTTCGTAATCATTATATTATGGCGATACATTGAGTTAAAATGTCACATGACGTCACGGTTTACGTACAAAACTGTGACGTAGCGAGGCCCACTCCTCAACTTTGATGCCTATTATCTAAGCTATTTCTTGTTAAATTGAAGTAAAAAAATACGTATCTTATATTTTTCTATTATCTGAGTGAAGGACTAAATAGAATTTCTTTTTTTACCCACTCGTCATCCTTGTACTATTGCCTTAGCTACTCATGTTGGAATACTCAATAAGTTTAATTTCCACAGGTAATTTTACATTACAAAGTCGTTACTGTCGGGCACAACAATGATAGAAAGGCGGAGCACTAGTTTTTATTATTGTAATTTATAATTAAATAAATAATACATAATAGGGATGATGACTAATTTTTGTTTGTTTGTCCGTCAGGTAAAGTGTTAAAAAATATTAAACACGTATTTTTTCGAAATCATAAAATTACGGCGTTACATTGAGTTGAAATTTCGCATATGTCACGTTAGAGTACGTTTTCTATTCAACTATGACGTAGCGAGCCCCCACTCCTCAACTTTAATGCCTGTTATCTATACTATTTCTTGTTAATTTGAAGTAAAAAAAATACGTATCTAATATTTTTCTATTATCTGACTGACGAACTAAATATAATTGCATTTTTTTTTACCCAGTCATCATCCCTATTATATATACTTACGCTAATCTGAGTTATGTATGTCGTGTTGTCTAATATTACATATTTATTTATATAGACTTCATGGGTCTTACGAAGCATTAAAGGGTGGTTCAACATGCGAAGCCATGGAAGATTTCACGGGTGGTGTAACTGAAATGTACGATGTAGCAGAACTACCGCCTAACTTCTACACTATACTACTGAAGGCATACGAGAGGAACTCGCTCATGGGATGTAGTATAGAGGTCAGTTGTTCAATCCAATATTCAAAACTTATTTTAAATTAATTATCGGGTTACATATAAATTAGCTGGTATATTGGCGAAGATATAAACAGGCGTTCCACAAGGCTCGCATCTAGGTCCGATATTCTTCAATGTTTTCATAAACGTTAACATCTTGCTATTTACACTCTTCTACCTAACTTTGCACCGATGATCTCAGAATTGCTAAGTCATTAAAATCATCTTCAGATTCTATTCTTCTTCAAGCAGATCTCACAAGACGTCTAGAGTGGTGTGTCAAAAATAAAATAAGCTAATTGATTTTAATGGATTACAGGACTGCATCTATTTCTTTTTTTATAAATCTGTTAATTTTTCTACAGCCGGATCCTCACGTTTTGGAGGCAGAAACCCCTGTGGGTTTGATCCGTGGTCACGCTTACTCCATCACCCGGGTTAAGTATGTCGACATCGAGACTCCCGGACGATCAGGGAAGATACCGCTTCTGCGACTCAGGAACCCATGGGGCAACGAGGCCGAATGGAACGGACCATGGAGCGATAAGTAAATATTCAATATTATTTATTTATTTAGTACTTTATGTACTAATGTACAAAGGCGGACTGTAATGGCTTAGGCAGGGTTCGCAAAAATCCGATAATTATAATAAATGATTATTTTATTGAATAGTTGATCTTTTGAAAAATCGAAAGTGTAAAATAAAGATTGAGTTTGTGTTATTTAATATTTTTTTTATTTATTATAAAATAATTGAAAACTTGATTTCCAGTAACATATTAGGGCAAAAACCTTAAAATTTATTAAGATTGCCACTTTTTTCTTTTTAAGCAAAGTTGATTTTTTAAGCATTTTTCATTAAAAATCTCCTTCAGTGAATTGTGAATGCAAAATTGATGAAATATATATGTTAAACTAAGATTTCTGGAATTTAGGGGGGGGGGGGGGGTAGGGGTTTATCGCGACATTTCCATCTCTATATATTTCATATAGAGATTCCAACATTTCCATCTCTATACATGACATATAGAGATGGAAATGCCGCGATTAATTTCTCCAAAAGAAGGATTTTTGTGGGCCTAACGTATCGCGAGATATAAGGGATATATTTTGCTAAAACTGTATTTTTGTAAATGAGGAAGGAGTGGGTTGTAGCTGGGGAAGGGGGGGTACTGGATGTTGTATTTCCTCTGTGGTATCGAATATGCCGGAAATGAGGTCAAATTTGACCCAGCTATTGTATTTCGTACGAGGGTCAAACTGAAAGTTCTTAGAAAATCAAAAACTGATTACATTAGCCAGTTATTAGTTTTATTATATCTTTTCAAAATATTGTCCATTCACGTCAATACACCGCTGCATGCGATGGAACCACTGGGAAAAGCACTTTGCCCACTCGTCCTTAGGGGTCTCTTCAATGGCATCGCGATACGCAGCCACCGCTTCTTCAGCATTCATAAACCGCTTTCCTTTAAGTTTTTCTTTAATTTTTGGAAATAAATAAAAATCACAAGGCGCGAGGTCGGGGCTATACGGCGGGTGACCCAGTAATTCAACGTTTGATGTCGCCAAATAGTCGATCGTTCGCTTGGCGGTGTGCGACGAGGCGTTGTCGTGGTGAAGGAGGATCCTACTGCGAGGTCGTTTCTCTCGAACTTTTTCCAAGACAAGTGGCAAACAATTGGTAGTGTACCATTCTGCAGAAACTGTTTTTTGATCCTCTAACACAATTGTTGCAAAATGACCTATCCTTCCAAAGAACGAGGCCACCATTTTTTTTCCCGCACTTCGATCTCTCTTCACTTTAGTTGGCAACTCCTCGAAAGGAAACACCCACTGAGCAGATTGTCTTTTGGTTTTAGGATCATAACAGTAAATCCAGCTTTCGTCACCTGTTAGTATGTCGAACACAGCATTTGAGTCACCTCCGTTAAATCTTTCAATCATTTTACGACACCAATCCACACGATGGAGTTTTTGAGCCTCAGTCAAATTATGAGGTATCCACCGGGCGCAAAGCTTCCTGACCGCTAAATGTTCGTGGAGGATTTTGTGCACTTGACTCATACCGATGCCTAAGCTTGTCCGAATCTGTTGATAGGTCACTCTTTTGTCAGTCTCTATCATACGCCGCACAACACAGATGTTATCTTCAGTCGTCGCCGTAGAAGGCCGTCCCTCACGTAAATCATCAGTGAGATTAGTGCGACCACGTTTAAACTCATTAAACCAGTTGTAAACAGTCGCACGAGATGGGGCTTCATCGTGAAAGGCCAATCGTAGTCTATCATAACTTTCTTGTTGACTTAAATGACATCGAAAGTCATAAAAAATCATTGCACGAAAATTTTCTCGTGTTAAATTCATGATGACGTGACACAGACAATTTTCAATTTGCCGCCAAATCGTAAAACAAATGACAAATGAATGAAATATATACTCAGTAATATTGGCAAAGAGTTATATTTTCAAATTTTAGAATTATTTTTTTATTATATTGTTTATAAGTGGCCAGTTCTAAGAACTTTCAGTTTGACCCTCGTATTATAGCTTCTTTCGGCGAGACTAGGATATACCGTCGCCTTAAAGTTAGGTCATGCATGGTGAAGTCGCGGGAAAACAGCTAGTCTAGCACAAATTTAATATTTGTTTTTTTTTAGTTACTATTAAGATAAGGTTCGTTGACCTCCCGTCTAAAGCTAGCAGCTTGATGAACAGTCTGAATTTTATTACCAACACCACATAATTTTACCAGATCACCGGAATGGCGTTTCATACCGGAATCGGAGAAGGAAGAGCTAGGTCTCACATTCGACGATGACGGTGAATTCTGGATGTCCTTCAAAGACTTTACTCAACACTTCGACAGGTAAACTAGCTTTTTATACGAATTATTGATGGTTTTATTTTTTGTTTTGTGTACATATCGGAATGACGTCACGAATATGGCGGACAGCGTTTACGCGGGTATAAAAAGTTACCATTTTGTTTTAATTTTATTACAAGAAAACGTGTTTATTTTTCTTAAATATATTCTTATGGCTCATTGAATACAAAAACTATCAAGTACTATTTCTAAAAGAATTAGCTATTAATTTAGAACTTTAATTTCAAAAGATGTGATAATAAAATCGTTTGAAAAAATTTCATATTTCATAACTGACTCGCTGTCGTCTCTACATTATAGAGTGGAGATTTGTAACTTGAACCCTGATTCTCTGGATCCAGAAGAGTGTCCTGAAGGATGCACCAAGAAATGGGAGATGTCCGTTTTCGAAGGAGAATGGGTTAGAGGTAAACTACTTTTTATTTATTACAAAAAGATTAACTGTATAACAAATCGTTGAAGTTTCTTTTTTTTATATGAAGTTTTACTTCAACTTTCTGTCGCCCGAATGCAGAACTAAGACAATATTGTATTTTTTTGTGTTCCATACCCAAAGGATAAAACGGGAACTCTATAATTAGATAGTTGAAATTTTCACAGATGATGTGTTTCTTTAACAACCGACTTGCCGCTTCAAAAAAACATACTAAGAACCAGAATAAAATAAATATTTAAAAGCGCTCCCATAAAGCAAATGTGTTTATTTTTTGTTTGTTTTTGCTTGATATCGATAACAAATTTAATTAAAATATTTATAGAATGTGTATTTATATAGTAATAGTTAATTTCACATTTATAAGTATGAATATGGATGGTACGAAACTCGGGGTTTTTTGTAATGTTAAACGTCATTTACATAGTAGCGAGCAAAGAGTAAAGTAAGTTAAGAGAGTTAATTTGTTAAAATGTCGTATACAGGTGTGACGGCGGGCGGATGTAGGAACTATTTGGAAACGTTCTGGACGAATCCGCAGTATACAGTAACACTCACGGATGTGGACGAAGGAGACGATGACAACAAGTGCACAGTGAGTATATTACACTGACCCATAACGTTATATCTACGGTATAATATTTTATTTATTTATTTTTAATGATTGTATTTTATCCATTTTGCATTCGTAAAGCTATACTCAAAAATTTTCTTAATGAAAACTATGGCACTCTGAGATGGGATTCGATCCCACGACCTTTCGCAAACAGGGCGACTGGTGTAACTACTGAACTACCTAGAACCTAACAGGACTGACGAATTTTTTCAAGCAATATAATAAGCATAAAAGTGTAATTATCGTTAATAGTATATATTATATATTACACTACTAGAACTACTATGCGGTGAACATTGGCTATATTTTATCCCGGATAAAAATGCGAGGGAAAGTTTATGTGGGGAATTAAAACGGAGAGCTTGTATAATGTATATATGTCATATTTTTCACCATAGATAATTTTCTATAGATCATCATAGCGTTGATGCAGAAGAATCGTCGTTCCCAACGTCATCAAGGTCTGGAATGTCTTACTATTGGTTTCGCGGTGTACCGCTTGCCCGATTACGGACGAGTGCCGAAACCTCTAGATGTTAACTTCTTCAAATACAACGCGTCCGTTGGGAGATCGCAGGCGTTCATCAATCTGAGAGAAGTCAGCGCCAGGTGAGTGTTCAGATTAGGGCTTCCAATCCCGCAGCCTGTATTCAATCTCTGTATTTGCGAGACTAGGAATTTTCGATCCCTCGAGATCTCAGTATTTGTAGGATCCCGCATTAAGAAATATTACTATTTATATAAAGCAAATAAAACGAAGAAATAATCAACATAATTTTACTTTATCATTGGTCATTCTCATTTACATTGGTCGATAGGGCCCGCATGCAGACTACTAATGATTCCTACGGGCTCATATCACTGGCCCATAAACTCTTTTAGTTTGAGTCAAACCACTGACTAATGCAAATATGCACAAAAATAGCCGCACTACGTATGCGGGCCCTATCAACCAATGTAAATGAACTGGCATTAGTCATGAAACCGATGACAATCAATGACCGTCTAATGAAAATAAGCACAGAAATCGCCGCAGACCGCATGCGAGCCCTATCGACCAATTTTTTCACTGTATTTATTTGATTATGCTTATTCTTTTATTTTAAATAGAAAAAAATATATATAAACTTCTTCATTCATTAGAATATTTTAAATTTATTATTCAATTTACTTTTAATTTATTATATATATTATAACATTATACAAAGTTCTGAGAATAAAATTTAAAACTTTTATATTTATCACATTAAGGTTCAAATTCGAGCCTGGCAGTTACGTGATAGTGCCTTCTACGTTCGAGCCGAATGAAGAGGGAGAGTTCTTACTACGTGTGTTCTCTGAGAAATGCAATAATATGGCGTGAGTATAACATATGTAAATGAAAATGAATAAATATGTTGTTAAACACAAAACTCGAGGACGGCTGAACCGATGTGGATGATTTCTTTTTGTTGTGTTTGATGATGTCAGAAAAAGGAGAGAATCCAATCAAACTTTAGGAGAGAAAAGATAGTAAAAACAATTTTTTTTTTCTATAAAAACCACTCTCTCAAACGTCAATCAAAGCAAAATAAAGGCTTGTTGGGAATAACTTTAATTGACTTCAAGTTGATTAAGAGCGGAAAAAGATCCGCCGAGACAGCTAGTTAATAAAAAACAATAAAAAAAAAAACAAATAATAGTATCATAATATGATTAAATACCATTAGTCTATTGGTGTCCCATTGTTCGACAATAGAAGGTCCTATATAATAATTTTTAATTTTGTTTCTAGGGAAAATGATGAAGATATCGGCATGGGAGACGTCGATGACAGAGTTAGTACATATATATATATATACTAATATTATAAAGCTGCAGAGTTTGTTTGTTTGTTTGTTTGAACGCGCTAATCTCAAGAACTACTAGTTCGAATTGAAAAAAATTTGTGTTGAATAGACCATTTATCGAGGAAGGCTTTAGGCTATATAACATCACGCTGCAACTATTAGGAGCGAAGAAATAATGGAAAATGTGAAAAAAACGGGGTAAATTATTCATCCTTGAGGGCTTCCGTTGCGTGAGCTGCGAAAACGGTTCAAGATGCCAAAAATATATGTATGAAAGTATTATTCCTCTTGAAATGATCTAAAAAAATGCCCTGTACAAAATATGTCTTTCTTTTAAGATTAACTCACTAGACCCGTTTTTATGGTAATCAAATTTGGTCGAAATTAATGTATTACTTGTTAAGAGTTGTATCAACGTAATAATATTAATGTATAATACAAGACCACGTGGGTGAAGCCGCTGGCGAAAAGCTAGTATAAAGATATTTTAATAGAAATTAAATTAATATTTTAACCCTGCTTTATTCAGAATGTTTTTTTGAGCGTAATAAGTATATAAACCAGTCAATTGGCCAGGCCCGGATCTACGATTTGTTCCGACTGGGGCACAAACTTGATACCGTTTTTTGTATGGCCATATTTTTGCAGTGGATAAACTTCAAATGATTTTAGTGATTTTTTTAACACCTTTTAAGTGCCTCCACTTGCGCGTCAGACGTGTAGTTTTATAAGTACATATTTATTTGTATTTATATATTTTACCTTTTTGGATATGTGTCAGGTGAAAGAAATAACTCCAAACCCGGAACCGGCTGATCCGGTGCGTGATTTCTTCAACCGTCTGGCCGGCGACGACGGACAAGTGGACTGGCAGGAACTGAAGGAGATACTCGACTACGCCATGAGGGAGGGTAAGTACATATATAAAATGTCATAAATATGTTCAAATGTTCTGTACAGTGAGACTTAACTAATATGGCGCATGACTTCGTTCGCGCTGAACGATTGGCTACTCGACAGTTATAACATTAAATTATGAAATATGTTGGAAATGGTAACTTATATGTTAACAATAACTATGTAGTATTTTTGTAAGTATATTTTATTTTTGCAAAATTAACTTTCGATATAAAATCTATGGATTATAAGAATTAAACGCAGGCAGGACGAAGCAACGTGTGACGTCACATTTCAACAAATTAAACATCAACGTCATTGTTGCGAGTGCTACCAGTACTAATTTTTATTGAAATGTGACGTCACTGCGCCAAATGTCTTGTAAATAATTGATTACGAAGGTAAATTTAAATTAATGAATTTTTTCCTTTAATTTAATAATATTTTTTGGAGGAAAAATAAATCTGACAGTGATTTAATATGATCTTAAGAAAGTTTTAAAACACTTTTCAAGTCACGTAGCCAATTCCGTCAATAACCGAACGTAAGATTACATTTTATAAAGAGTTTGATTCAATAACTATAAGGTGTAAAATACAAACGCGTTAGACATCCACTCTCACTCACACTAGTAATGGGCCGTCCATTTATCACGTGATGTTTTTTCAGCACTTTTAACCCTCTCCCCCCAATATCACGTGTATTTTTAGTAACTACAAAAAAATCTTAATTTTTGACGCCGCTTTTCGTTTTAGTAATTCGCATTCGAGGAAAAAATAAATACACGTGATATATTTCGTAATTTTCAACGAACATCCTGAGGCTCAAAAAAAAGGGGGGAGCGGGCCCCCTTTTTTGAACCTCACGTAATTAATGGACGGCCCCTAAGTATAGTAGTAGAGGTAAGCATTAGTCGAGTAGTGCTCGTTGGCCGACATTTGCCGCGTTTTAAAAATTTATCCATAATTGTACATTCTTGAGCCATATTAGTTGTGTTTTACTGTACTCGATATTCAATATATATGTCCCTATTTAATTTAGGTATTTTTAATTTAAAATAGGACATAACACTATGCAGCCTTGACAATATATATTTTATTATTTCACTATTAGTTTAATTATTTCGCTATTGTTGATAGTTTGACCGAGAAAATGGTCACAATTTTCATTAACTGTTTGTTGAAATAAGTGTGTAGATTAAAAGTAAATATAGTATTGATCAATACTATAAAAAAATATGGTAATATTTAAATTACGATTTATCGATATTTTTACATTCCTCAATAGTAACAATAAATATATGCTATCGACATTGTAACTTTTTTTTATCTACTTTCGATATTACTAAAGCTAGTAAAATCAATAAATGTGTTATATGAAAAAGAACAATGTAAAAAATAGAAAATTACATCTTCCAAAAGAAATCAATTCCTGGTGGTGTTTAAAACGTTTTTTCTCGCCGTAAGGTTAATTACTTAATAGGAATGTATTTTTAATTGTTTCACCAGAACGCTCAATATAAGGGGATACTTACTCATTTGCTGTCAAAAAATACTTCACCCCAAAATAGCCTAATAAACATCATCAATTTGTCTATTCTATTAACTAAAACCCACAGTGTTGCTATTCGTATTAATCAGTTTTATACACTAATTTTATAAATATATAGCCAAAATGTTTTCTCTATGAATTTCATTAAGTTATGATACAAAGCAAATAATCATAAGATTTTTATGAAGACAAACAGCAGAGATACGAGACATTCATATTTGTAACTTATGAATTTGATCCATAAATTAAGATAAAATAATTATGTTTCAACTTTTGTGGATTAATAAAGTAATATGACGATAGCCGATTGACTTCTTCTCTGCCATAGTAACAAGCAGTTTAATTAGAATAATACGGATGTAGACAACTATTTTTTATATTATATTTTTATGATATACATGAAATAAAATTGTTTAATGTATCATTTATATAATAATTTAAATATAAAAATACATTTATTCTACAAAATGTCCCCCGAAAAATCCACTGTTGTCGTCATGTTGATATCTCTTAGTTCTGATATGAGTAAGAGGGGGGGGGGGGGGGTGAAGTTACGCGCTATTTGCGGCAACGAGTATAAAATATTACATACTACAAAAAATACGATATGTATTTATTTTCGTTTACTGTCTACACCCTACACTTTAGAATAAAAAAAATGCTGAAATTAATAAATATCAAATTTTTGTAGAAGTACACGAAGGCATAATTTTTGTTGATACACATCTTTGACGTTCATGCGCTGATCATATCGTGACTAAAGCCAAATTGTGTTCATGAACCCAATTTACAATATACACTTATGATTTGCAAATACCGTATCTTGCCTTTTTGTTTTCATCTAATAAAGAAACAAAACCATTTATTACAACAATTAGATTCTCAAGATCTGTGATGATTACAGAAGCACTTAAAGTTGGTTGTATCTGTGATTGCAGAAACACTGTTTAACATTAGAATAAATATAACATAAAAATAAACTAATTAATTATAATATTTTTGCCTTAACAGTTGAAAATCTTAATTTATCTCCAATTAGAATATTTTATTATAATAGGATTTAATAAAAAAGAAATAATATTTAGCTTTTTATGGTAATAAGATTATACGTTATCTTAGGCAGTGCTTTTACCGTACATAAAAGTCTGAGTAGTATTTATAAGCTTGGTATATATGTTTATACTTTTTGTAATTATTGTCAGTTGAACACAATTTTTTAATTTGAGTGATTGTAATATTTTTGATATTGCAAAACTTTTAATTTCTAATGCCCATTTTTGAGTTTTCAATGTCGTACGCTTATAATGTGCCGATTTAATCGCTTTTTTGTCGTTTTGTTGCGCGCCATGTGAAAGTGTCGTATTATGTAAGTATATAATATAAATAGACATAAATATAGACATACACATATACATATTCAGCTTGAAACGTTACTGACTTTGTTTAAAAAAATCAATTACTTACATGTATACTATTAGACAATCTGTTCAGCAGGCCCATACGCTAAATCAAGAAACAAAATGAGCGATTTCAATGTTTCATAATCACTTATTCGTATTTTCTATCAATGGTTCAATTTTGTAATGTCAACATCGGCGATCTCCACAGAACTCCATTTTGACACAAGATCTTTTATCGATAAACTCATATTTCGTATTCTGTAAGCGTTAGTGACTATTAAAGCAATTGTCTAAGGATTATTGATTTCCATTTCTTATATTTTCACTCGCACTATCCGTAAATGAAAAAACTTTTAAACTGTTACATCGCGTTTGTATTTAGTTATAGACGTTTGGGACCCTTTACAGATTCCGTGTTCACATAGGGCCAAGGTTTTGATTGCCTTTTTAATAAATAAATACATCCGAATTTTGGTAGTAGATTACGGTAGCCAGGGATTAAAGTGAAATGTATTTTTTTACTAATTCAAATTAATAAATGTAAACGTGCCATAAAATATGTATATTTTTTGTATTGCAAATGTTTTCAATAGTATTGATTTTTTGAAGGTTAGCTATACTTTTAATTATAAATACATCAACACCTTGGTCTTATGTGAACGCGGAACCTGTAAAGGGTCCGAAACGTCTAAAACTAAATACAAACGCGATGAAACCGTTTAAAAGATAAAAATAAAAGTTATTGTAAAATTGATTTATTAAAAATTAATACACCGAAACCGCTCGATATGGAACCTACGGAACTCTGTGAACAAGTTACTGAACAAGAACAAGCACTACTACACAATACGAACACACACGGGAGAATTGACTGTATTGCCGTCTCGCTTACTCTTTACCTAGTAACTTGTCTTATAGTATACATATAAGTCTTTGTTAAAAGTATGTTATGTATAGAACCATAGTAGTTTCGAAATTAAATTCAATAATGAAACAGCTCTAGCAATAATAACATACTGTTAGACAAGCAATATAGATTTTGTTTTTCGAAAGTGCTATGGCAAATTGAATTTGTCAGTGACAATTCAGATTTAACAATACGTTTCGATAAGACCTTGTATATTTATATTTTTCTTAATTTACAATCTTACCAACGACCGGTCTATTGTACGCTAATTTGACGACTGTTTGGTGTAGTGATTGCACCTAAGATGTCTACTGTTTTTGAACTATCGAGTGCTTAAATGCAATGAAAATACATTAAAATTACTGTTCTTTATTCCTACTAGACAATTAAATGCGAGACAGTATTTGCATATTGCAATTGAAAACAGTCGGCCATCTTAAGTACCACTACCTTCATAATTTGATAGATTTTGCCTTTCCTATGCTGTATTAATGTTTATTTTATACTAAAATATGCATTTCAAAATCTTGCAGTAGTAGCTTTTCACGTTTTACACGGTTTTTGTTACGATTTTGGTAGTTATTATTTTATTGGTAGATTTTTTGTGGCACTTCTTAACGGGTTATTATTTTAACTAACAATCAATACATTTCGCAAATAATTTTATGAAAGGTATAAATTCTATTTATAAAAATGTCCATATAGTTTTATTATATATAACTAAATCAATAGTTGAATACAGTATAACCATTTTTTAATACAACTCACGTATGATACGATGCCGTGGACATCGAACATGGCGGGCGAAGGTGTCTCTCGCGCAAATCGTCGCGTCACAATATGCAAAAAAATTGCACCTTTTAAAAATTAATGAATGCTTTACTTATTGTAACACAATAAGTAAAGGCACAGAACATGATAATATAACACAGTGCAGTTGGCGGCCTTATTGCTAAAAAGCAATTTCTTCCTGGCAACATTAACAGAAATGAATCTCCTACTCAAATAGGTACGTCGTTCTAACTTGTAAATTTACCAAAATCTGTGGAGGCTTATAATTTGCTCTTCATTAAATAGTTCGTAAAGGATTATGTAATCCGAGCAGTTAGCCACCTAAATCGAATAATAAGAAAATGGTTCTACTGTACATTAATAGTTATTTGCATAAGATATCAATAAACGGATATGAACATGCATGAAGGTTATATTAATTTAAATGAAATTAACGAAGGGAAGTTGTTTTATAACTAATTTCTAATATCAAATTAACACCTAATACACTATGGTTTTTTAATGTTTAAATGAAACTTATTCTAAATTAGCTTATAAAACTAAATAGTAATTTAATTTAGAATTTTATTTTTAACCTGTTTGATATCTAATTATATCCGGCATGTTATTTGTTTAACTTTATAAATGTCTATAATCGCATTTCTATTTTATTTTATTATAATAGGGGTAGTATCGATAATTAATAAGTATATTATGTTTATCCTATGTTTTTTATTATGAGCATATAATAAGGAAATGTTATTCTTTGAAATGATCCTTTAGGTGCGATTGGTAAAATACGCAGATTGTTCGATGGTGAAAAAAATGTCCGATTCTAGTAGACATTCATTTTTTTATGACTAAAGTCTGTTCCTATGACATATGAAAAAAAGGGACAATGACTCATTGTAGGCATTATTGAAGCGTTAAGAGAAAACGATATGTATCGTTTTCAATAAATCTTGCTATAGTTTCCGTATAGTTATTGTCTATTGTTGTCCGGGTTGGGCTAGACGCGGCTGCACGTCATGTTACCACTATGTGTAATTTTGACCTCTACCTCTACCTGCATAGTATTAAGGTTTAAACCTAATGAAGGAATTTGACAGTTTTGTATAACCTGATGTGCTGTTGATTTTACAACAAAACGTTGTACTTAATACAGAAACGATATAGAAGTCCGTTTTTTCGCAAGTTCAGGAACAAACTAAAGTATATATCCGCAGTAGCTTAATACTGATGGTAGTATAAGAAATTGTTGTTTAAATTAAATTCGTAAATGCTCTCTTTTATTTCCCTCGTATGATATCAAATCCTTATCGTATTTATGGCGAGTCAGACTTAACTGTAAATAAAGTAAAATTTACTGTTTGCAATTTGGACCCATGGCACCTTAAAGGAAGTAATACTACTACTATAAGTTTGGTATAATGGCGGGCAGAGCTGGCCATGCGGAAGGGCGGCGCTTACGACGGCGGCGGGGGAGGGGGATGGGCGGCGAGGGGGGGAGGAGGAGCGGCCACTTCCCCCCCTCAGGAGCAGAGCTGCATCGAACAATTACTGTGCGCTCTCTGCTCGCCCATCTGCAAGGAGCTCGGCGTTGACTTGCAGCAAATGCAGCAACAACAGGGTAGTGAACAGGTGCACCTCACTCAACCACAGCCGCAACCAGGTTAGTATTCATACATCTATTGCGTAAGACTATTTTTGTCACTTCACAATCCTCTCCCTCTCTTACGTAAGAAAAATATAACTGGCTACTTGTTTTGGGTAAAGTTTTTTAAAACTTCTTATGATCATATTATAAAGAAGAAAAACCGTTATCAGATAGGAAAAACATATTTTTAATCATTGATTGAAATTGTTCCCGCGTTTCAATAAACATGAGTGCTGGTTGTACTCACAACAGAGACGTTGACGTTTACTTTATTGAAATGTGACGTCACACGATACTGCCTTGTGTCATGTTTCGGTTATTGTAATCCGCAGATTATAAATCGCAAGTTAATTTTGCTTAAATAATTTCGATATAGATGAAAAAATTGATCTAATTTTGTTATAATATAATTATATTATTATAATTATACTTTTCAGTATCGCATTGTGAATGTAAAATTGATAAAATATAGAAATTTACTTAATAGTATTTTTTGTAATCTTACGTTATTATAGACCTATTTGTTAAAAAAGGTTTTATTTTTATGTGAATGCTTTTTTTTAATTTATAACCCTCAATAACTATGCAGGTTTATTTAATCTTACGTAAGAACTGGTAAGACTTCCGTGTAAAAAAATACAATAAAATATGATCAACCTCCTCTCCCCTCCCTAAATTGTCTTACGTAATAAATGGATTGTGCGTAGTGATGTGACGGTATTAATGAAGATGTCTGAAAAATATATACTGATTAGGCCCTTTTTTTTATCAAGGAGTGTCAAACGTTCCTTAAAAACATCAATTGAATAATGGACGATGTAATTTCTTTATATAAAAAGTTTTTTTTTATTCATAAATTTTATGTATATTGCTATTAATATTTCTTAAGGTTTTGCAGGTGCAGTGGAGCAGTGCATGCAACTTCTACTTTTCATAAAGTTTTTTATAGAAATGGAGGCGAAATATTATTTGAAATGTCTATTTTTGACATATACCAAATTTATTTTTAGTATAAGCTATTTTTATGTTTTTTACAGGTATTCTTTATATAATGTGTATATGTTTTACTAAGTAGAATAATGCTTTTTTAATGAAAACAAAATTATTAGACTTTTTTTATATTAAAAAGCATTGTTTTACACTTTTTTTGCTTAACGTTGCTACTAACCACACTAAATGTGGGTATTTTCAATTTACATTGAAAATATTCTCATTTTCAAATAGCTTAATTGTTTGCATGTTCAAACGGCGAAAGCACACAAAAATGGGCATTTTAAATAATTTTAAGCTAAACCTTATATGATTCGTTGTTAAGACTTTATTTTACCTCCATTTCCGTAATTTTAAGAATATTTAATAAATTAAGTCTTTATTTTCTTACTTCATTATTTGATTATGCAATATACGATATGATATGATAGCATTTTGATGATCATGTCATGTCTATATTTCGTTAAAAATTATTTTTACCATTCAATCTATTTTAGATTTAAAAAAAAATATGACCTACGATTAGAGTATATTTTAAGTTAAAAAAATTACTCTACTAAATTTAAAACAAAGTATAAATTTCAAGTGAGTTTATATGTAACATTGCAGAATTGAAAGGACAGGGCTTTTCGAAGGACGTATGCAGAAGTATGATCGCTATGTTGGACAAAGATGGCTCCGGCGGACTCGGCTTTGAGGAGTTTAAGACCCTGTGGATTGATTTACGTAACTGGAGGGTATGTAACATTTTTTATAAAATCCATTCTCGCTTAAGCGCCTCGCCAAAAAAGGAATAAAAACTGATAAATCTACCAAGTTTCTTACTGGTCTTCTTCCACTATAAACGTACGAACCTTAAATATTGTTTGTTAACTTACAAGATTATTAGACGATCAGACGTACGTGGTACGTAACTTTGCTTCTGTTAAGAGTCGGGTGTTCCCGTATAAATTACAGAAAATCCTGTCATGCATACTAATTTTCAATATTTTTTAACAAATAAAATATATATTTTATCTCTTGATTCAAAAGATAATTCAAATTAAATATTAATTAAAGCAACTGGTACCTTAAATATCGCATCTTTTCATATGCATGACATATCGGATAAATATCAAATATCGGATAATTTAAATATCTATTATAAGCAGAGGTCGGAATTAGGTAGAGTTATTTATGTACTTGCATTGAAATGTTGATATTAATGTGGACCCCCTTGGGATTTCTTTATTTCTTTCTTTCATTGATGTAAGTTTGGCAACGTCGTGCGTGCAGTAGTTTAAATTGTGTAAAAGTAAATAGCTTTTTATTGAAAGAATCACGGGATTTTTTCTGCTCTTTAAAATTAATCTCGGGATTTGAGGCATATCCACTTTATTCTTTTGCTGTATGAAATTCCGACCACTGATTATAAGTGTCGGATTTTCGCGAACTACAATCACAAATGTAAGGCATTTGTGATAAATTCTAAAATTAGACATGTATTGTATGTATATGTGATGTGTTCAGGCCGTGTTCCGTCTGTACGACACGGAGGGTCGCGGCGGTATACCCGCTCACCACCTGAGGGACGCGTTACACTCCGCCGGGTACACGGTCAACGCGCACGTGCTCAACGTACTAGCTCACAGGTATACTATACACGTACACGGATAATTAACCTTCATTCGTGCAGTTAGGTCCCATTTCGCTTGGAGTCAATAATCCTAATAGGGAATATGCACATATGTTTTTATATTTTCATATTATATTAATTCATATTATAATTTACATCGTTATATAACTGAAAAACTTGAAATAAGTAACAACTACGAGCAGTTTAAAGGCCGGAGTTTTGGCGCGCTCGTCGTGACGTCATAGTACACGACTAGTGATATGACATTTTAAATCAATATGGATTTGTGATTGATTATTATTCGATTACCTAAATCGATTAACAACTACTCATTTTTTTTAATAATCATATAGTTTACAAAATTGTTAAAATGAAGATTAAAAATCATTTAAATTGTAATCTGTTGTTTAATCAATCTGCAATTTTCATTACTAATACGTTTAAAAGTTGTTTCATTTATGGATATTGCGCGGGAAAATATTAGAAATCAATATAAAATTCTTTATAAAGTTCACATTTCGATGTTTTAAATGTAAATGCTTTTTTGGGATGCAATTTGTTATGGATTGAAATGTTTGTTTACGAAAATCTATTGATATAAATAAATGTATTCAACAGATACGGCTCCTCTGACGGCTACATACAGTTCGACGATTTCATAATGTGCGCAGTGCGACTCAAGACCATGATCGGTAAGATATACACAACACAATGACCTAATGTAAATGTAACATATTAAATAAAATCAATTACAATGAATCCTGGTTAGGAAACAGAATTACCTACTATATCCGTTTTTAATTTTAATTATACTACGTTACTGATACTAGGAAATACTGTTCAGTCTATTAGACCATTGTACATTAATGAACTTAAAATCAACCGACTTAGATTCAAAATTGATTGGCGTGACATTTTGTAGTAAAATAAGGTGACGTTTACAGTTTTTATATAAATCTAATCAAAGAGAAGGCATGTGCAAAATGTGGAGGCGTTAATAGAATATTTTTGTCTTGAATTGTAGTTTACTTTTGAGAAAGTTAGTAAAAATCTAATAAAATATTCTATTTCCGAAAATGTATTATATCGAGCTCCTCCGTTAGGGGCCGTCCATTAATCACGTGATGTTTTTTTTTTCAATATTTTTTTACCCCACTTCCCCTTGGTGATACATGGTGACGTTTTAGACCCCCCTCCCCCCCTCCAAGTGTATTTTTAGTACCAACAAAAAAAATCTTAATTTTGATCGTCGCTTTTCGGTTATAATGGCGTTTAATACACGTGATGTATTACTACACCCCCCCCTCTCCCCCTTTCAAGCCTCACGTAATTTGTGGACGGTCCCTTATGCCATTAGACCGGGCTACAGCTGCAATCGTTACGCACTAATCCGGTCAGAGTCCGCTTGGTGGGGAATTCCCATTCTCCCTATTCTATATTGGAGACTATAATAAACTGATGAATGTCAAATTAATATACAAGTATATGTGGTAAAAACAGCAAACAACGAACCTCTCGAGAATCTCGAGCGCGAGCTGCAAGGGGTACCGTGAGCAGAGGACGCGTGAACACAAGTATATAATGATATATATGAGTATACTAGGAGTATATACTATGTGCACACATGAAATAGATATGTATACAAGAACCACTAGTTTTGATTTTAACAAAATCACTGCTAATGCTATTCTTAAGTATTATTATGAAACATGTATTCTAATAAAAAATAATAATCTAAATAAATGAGTTACTACTTCTTTATAAGATACAGGTATACGATAGAGGTCATATAAAATACAGATCTTTGGTTAGAAAAAATATATTAATAATATTTTAAAATTTTATTAATTTTTTCTTCAAAAAAATATAAGAAAGAAAGTTAATAAAAATATAGGATGATTATTATAATTTGTAAATCAAGTAAATTGCCACCTACCGAATTGTACAGCTCGTGTTATTTGTATAGAACATATGCAATAATAGACTTACAATAATCTAAGCTTAAATTCATACGATATTTGTTTCTCCCAAACCTAATACATTTCAATAAAAATTCTGCCTGATGAAGCCCGATCCCCTGTATTGGGGAAGTAAAAGGGATGAGTGATGATGAATATTAAATACACAGAACTTGTTTAGGATCCGAAAAATCTGAAAATGAAAACATAAACACCTCATATCCGTTATAAAAAGCAGTATTATTTATTACAGGAAATATATCACTGTATATCACATGCTTATATTATTTGGGACCTTGAATAGGCTAATGTGCTTCGGAAATATTCAAAACGGTTATATATTTTGGCTTACATGTGACAATAAAAACATTTTTTTATGAAAAAGAAACAAGTGGCTCTTCTATACTTGCTCTATTTTGTGTCACTATTCACAGATATCGAAATGTAATTGCTGCATCAAACGGTAATATAATAGTGTGAATTACAATGCTGTATTATACAAACTCTTTTTAATTATTTTTTTTTATAGCGATTACAATTTGATATTTTTAAACATCATTTGCGAGTGTAATTAATGTAAGAATTTAGTACATAAATGCTTAAGTCACTATATATATTTAATTGAAAGAAAAACTGTACGCAAATGATACCAACACAATTCACGGGCTTTTTACAGGTGCCTATACTAAAATACTTAAAACTTTCTTTTTTTTATATAGCGTAAGCTCTATGGTAATCTGTAAACGGTCTCAGCACGCTTACTAACTGTCAGTACCGCGCCGTATAATACATTAGTTTTAATTAAATCTATAATTATTTCAGATACTTTCAAACAAAGATCGTCGGGAGGCGAGTACGCTACGTTCTCGCTGGAAGAATGGCTGAATCGCACAGTGTATTCATAGATTAACGATTTGCCTATAAAACGCCTTATTGTTAAGGCCTAAGGGCCAATGTCAACCTACCTTTACAACTTACTTAAGTCTCAATGTATGTGATTTGATCTATTTCCATATTTATATCTAAAATATTATACACACACTATTTAGACTATTATAACATTTCAAAATTCCTATAATCTACTTTCATTTGACAGATATCAACTGTGTACATTGAGACATAATCTTTTTTAAGTGTTTCTTATTGATTCTAAGTCACAAATTAATGTTAATTAATATTAAACTTTAATACTTTTTCATTGTATTCAATACGGGTATGAAGATTCATTTATACTAACTTTTATGTCGAAATTAATCCGCCGTATTTGGTATATAACTATCGTCTTTCAATGTACAAATTGTAAACATTTAAATTTAAGTGAAGCAGTATTTCTTTATCCACCGAATACTCATTCCATATCAAAATGGTTTTTTTTTTCTTTTACTTAGGTTGTTTTTAGACAAGTTGTAAACATCTTTATTTACTGTGCGATGTTACTGCCTGTTTCTGTATATAAACCCCAAGTTAAAAATATATTTCTATATAATATCTTATATACATTTTGGTGTAATTCAATCTGTTGCAATGACAATGCATTTTTTGAGATTTTGTATTCTTTTTTTTGTAATATTTATGACATATTTTATAATATAATTCCGAAATATGAGATCTGAATAAATGTTTTATTTATTAACTGTTGTTTGTATTTTACACGTCTATATAAAAATAAAAATAAGTTCGTATTTTAAATAAAAAAGTCACTTCCCGCTGTCTGTAATCTGAGACCTTTTAAATTACACAACGGCTTTTAATGCTGTTTTCATTAATATACACAGTGATTCAAGAAGAAGGTTTAATAATTAAAATTGAAGTGAAAATTATGAATAAATTAACTTCTAACTTAATATAAGAAGGATAGTAACTTGGCAATTACTTGAAGAACAATGAACACAAATGTCTGACGTCACGCAAACGTCATACAATTCTATAGAATCAATATTTCTGGATAGATAGCTGCACTAATAACAGAGTTTGAAAAATACGTCTAGGTGTTACATTATATATAAGTATGATGATATGAGTATGAAGATGTGGTGAAAAAATACTCTCAAATGCGCGACACAAATATTAAAAGGTTAAAACAAAATATCAGACTAAGAGGTGGGGGGACCAAGGGGGGGACAGTCCGCCCAGGGCCTATTGTCTTGGAGGATGGCTCCAATGGCTGCAAGTTCTCTTGATCAAATCATTTAATTTATCACATAAATATGATTCAGATAGCTGTATTTTTCTAATTAATCTTAAGTTCACTACTGTGTTTATAATATGCGTGCATCTAAACGCAAATTAATGAGGATGTATTTAAAAAAAAATAAACACTCAAAAGCACTGCATGGCGACTCTAGCAAAAGTTGATTTCTGCAGGAAACTAATGGTTGATGCATTCCATTCCATCCAGACAATGATTTCCGTCCCATTTAACTAACATACATATAAAAAAACTGAAATTGGAAAAGTTCGAAACTTAGATATCAAATACAAATACGTAAAAGTACAAATAGAATACGAGGTGTTTATTGAGTTTTGAAAACTAATTATTAAACATAAAAGAAAACGATGTAATAAATAGGTATATGCTAGTACGCTCACGTTGTTCGGGTTTCGGCGTGATCAAGTAAACCAACCCAAATTGAGCTCTATCGCGTTAGCATAAGGGTAAAATTCGGTTTAACTTTAGCGTTGTAGAAATAACTAGTTATCAAAAATAGACAGTTTTGATATCGGTGGTTGGCGATCTGATAGCATTTGCGTTACGTGATTTGAAAAATGGATAACGACCCATCGCTACACCTCCAGTCCCTCTAACAGACTACTATGCAGTTTTAAAATCCCGAATGTTTAATCACTGACATCAAATGTGGAATAATTCAAAACTTTACAAAGGAAATTGGTACGCTCAAATTCAAAAAGAAGCCCCCCTAAGCCCTGGTATTTCAAATGGAAGTCTCCGAAAAGAAAGTTTATTACTACAATAAATAGGTTGAGATTCGGTCATTCACTTGAAGCGAATCAAGATTACCTCTTCTGATGAATGCGAGCGTTGTCGGTCTTCTAGTCACATTAAACCATCTGATTCTCCATTGTCCTGCCTTAATATTCAAAAGTTACTGCTAGTAGATGGCTTACTAAAGATATATAAAGAAGAAGATATTCCACCGCCTCCTGCCATCTTTACTACAGAACGCAGAAACTTATGAATTAATTTAACAGTATATAATTTCAATTTTTGATTAATTTATGAAACTAACTCTGTATATATTTGGGATAGAATGGAAAATATTTGAAAATTCAAAAATATATATTTTGTGAAGAAAAATGTAATAAAGAAGTGGCTGTATGGATACTTCCAAAGCCATAAAACTATTAATAAAAAAAGAGAATACAAACCAAAGTAAAGGGATATATAAACGCGGCTTTATAATAATGATGTGCCGATTCGATTATTATAAACATAGATTAATCGATTATGGTATTACTCCTGATCGATTAACAATTGATTAGTGTCAACGATTATTAAATATTTTTACCCCAAAAGTTTATTAATGATTTCAGATTAATTCCACCGTATTTTAAAGCCATCCAAGTTAATGAAAAATAGTTAAAAATCAATTTTAAGACAATGTTTACTATACCAGTATTGTTCATACAAAATTTATGGAATTAAACTAGCTGTACCCGCGATATCGTCCGCGTGGAAAGTAGCCTTAGTAATGAGGAAGTATTTAAAGAAAAACATTAGTTCCCGAAATCAAACTACATGTCTCTACGGTATGTTATTGATTTCTCCATGACAACCCTTCCACCTTTCTTTTATGTTTAAAAGTAAATTAGTTTTCAAAACGCAATAAACAACTCATACTCTATATGTACTTTTTCGTATTTATATTGACATTCCAGATAGCAATTTAAACTTTTGTCTGACTTGCAACAAGTTTGATATATCAAAAAAGATAACATGCTTCACGTTTGCCATGACAACTGCAGCAACTTGCCGCAAGTAAACTTTCTAGTTTCAGCGTGACAAACTTGCACTACCTTTGACGTATCGTAAAGGTATTGCAATGGTACCTATGTACTGACTTGAATACCTAGCAGGTACACTGCGGCTCGTCGAGTACCTGGAATACAGGTTTCGAGGCAAATATTTATTTATCTAAGTTTTTATTCATCTTTTGATAATTCAAAAATTTTGGTCCAATAGTAAATGTGACTCAGACCACAGCACAGAGCCTAACCTAAGAGCCAAAGTAATGAACTGTAACGGTTGGATTCGATTCCCATATTAAGATCACATTAAACGGCATAGTACTAATACAATCTAACAATATAAACTGTTATCGCAATGCATTAATTGAACAGCGCAATCTCATTTGCAGATTTAGAACTATTCAGGCACCTATGAAGATGATGGGTGTGTTACATATAAGTATCTTTGTCATAGCAATATTCAAACAATATCATCGCAAACTTCATATTTAACATAACAATATTGCAGCGACATTGTCACAAACTTGCCTCGTATATTTGGCGCAGCAATTTAGATCCAAGGAAAATCAAATTTACCCCAAGTTAGCATGCTATCTGGAATCTAAGTTACGAACTTTTTAAATTTCAGTTTTTAATATGCTAGTTCAAAGGAACGGAAATGACAGTCTTTGGTCCATTCGTTTCCTGCAAAAATCAACTTTTGCTAGAGTCGCCATGTAGTGGAGGAGCTTTTTAAATGCCTTATTTCATAATCTATCTGCCATGAATGTCCCGACAAAATTAACTTCTAACTTAATATAAGAAGGATAGTAACTTGGCAATTACTTGAAGAACAATGAACACAAATGTCTGACGTCACGCAAACGTCATACAATTCTATAGAATCAATATTTCTGGATAGATAGCTGCACTAATAACAGAGTTTGAAAAATACGTCTAGGTGTTACATTATATATAAGTATGATGATATGAGTATGAAGATGTGGTGAAAAAATACTCTCAAATGCGCGACACAAATATTAAAAGGTTAAAACAAAATATCAGACTAAGAGGTGGGGGGACCAAGGGGGGGACAGTCCGCCCAGGGCCTATTGTCTTGGAGGATGGCTCCAATGGCTGCAAGTTCTCTTGATCAAATCATTTAATTTATCACATAAATATGATTCAGATAGCTGTATTTTTCTAATTAATCTTAAGTTCACTACTGTGTTTATAATATGCGTGCATCTAAACGCAAATTAATGAGGATGTATTAAAAAAAAAATAAACACTCAAAAGCACTGCATGGCGACTCTAGCAAAAGTTGATTTCTGCAGGAAACTAATGGTTGATGCATTCCATTCCATCCAGACAATGATTTCCGTCCCATTTAACTAACATACATATAAAAAAACTGAAATTGGAAAAGTTCGAAACTTAGATATCAAATACAAATACGTAAAAGTACAAATAGAATACGAGGTGTTTATTGAGTTTTGAAAACTAATTATTAAACATAAAAGAAAACGATGTAATAAATAGGTATATGCTAGTACGCTCACGTTGTTCGGGTTTCGGCGTGATCAAGTAAACCAACCCAAATTGAGCTCTATCGCGTTAGCATAAGGGTAAAATTCGGTTTAACTTTAGCGTTGTAGAAATAACTAGTTATCAAAAATAGACAGTTTTGATATCGGTGGTTGGCGATCTGATAGCATTTGCGTTACGTGATTTGAAAAATGGATAACGACCCATCGCTACACCTCCAGTCCCTCTAACAGACTACTATGCAGTTTTAAAATCCCGAATGTTTAATCACTGACATCAAATGTGGAATAATTCAAAACTTTACAAAGGAAATTGGTACGCTCAAATTCAAAAAGAAGCCCCCCTAAGCCCTGGTATTTCAAATGGAAGTCTCCGAAAAGAAAGTTTATTACTACAATAAATAGGTTGAGATTCGGTCATTCACTTGAAGCGAATCAAGATTACCTCTTCTGATGAATGCGAGCGTTGTCGGTCTTCTAGTCACATTAAACCATCTGATTCTCCATTGTCCTGCCTTAATATTCAAAAGTTACTGCTAGTAGATGGCTTACTAAAGATATATAAAGAAGAAGATATTCCACCGCCTCCTGCCATCTTTACTACAGAACGCAGAAACTTATGAATTAATTTAACAGTATATAATTTCAATTTTTGATTAATTTATGAAACTAACTCTGTATATATTTGGGATAGAATGGAAAATATTTGAAAATTCAAAAATATATATTTTGTGAAGAAAAATGTAATAAAGAAGTGGCTGTATGGATACTTCCAAAGCCATAAAACTATTAATAAAAAAAGAGAATACAAACCAAAGTAAAGGGATATATAAACGCGGCTTTATAATAATGATGTGCCGATTCGATTATTATAAACATAGATTAATCGATTATGGTATTACTCCTGATCGATTAACAATTGATTAGTGTCAACGATTATTAAATATTTTTACCCCAAAAGTTTATTAATGATTTCAGATTAATTCCACCGTATTTTAAAGCCATCCAAGTTAATGAAAAATAGTTAAAAATCAATTTTAAGACAATGTTTACTATACCAGTATTGTTCATACAAAATTTATGGAATTAAACTAGCTGTACCCGCGATATCGTCCGCGTGGAAAGTAGCCTTAGTAATGAGGAAGTATTTAAAGAAAAACATTAGTTCCCGAAATCAAACTACATGTCTCTACGGTATGTTATTGATTTCTCCATGACAACCCTTCCACCTTTCTTTTATGTTTAAAAGTAAATTAGTTTTCAAAACGCAATAAACAACTCATACTCTATATGTACTTTTTCGTATTTATATTGACATTCCAGATAGCAATTTAAACTTTTGTCTGACTTGCAACAAGTTTGATATATCAAAAAAGATAACATGCTTCACGTTTGCCATGACAACTGCAGCAACTTGCCGCAAGTAAACTTTCTAGTTTCAGCGTGACAAACTTGCACTACCTTTGACGTATCGTAAAGGTATTGCAATGGTACCTATGTACTGACTTGAATACCTAGCAGGTACACTGCGGCTCGTCGAGTACCTGGAATACAGGTTTCGAGGCAAATATTTATTTATCTAAGTTTTTATTCATCTTTTGATAATTCAAAAATTTTGGTCCAATAGTAAATGTGACTCAGACCACAGCACAGAGCCTAACCTAAGAGCCAAAGTAATGAACTGTAACGGTTGGATTCGATTCCCATATTAAGATCACATTAAACGGCATAGTACTAATACAATCTAACAATATAAACTGTTATCGCAATGCATTAATTGAACAGCGCAATCTCATTTGCAGATTTAGAACTATTCAGGCACCTATGAAGATGATGGGTGTGTTACATATAAGTATCTTTGTCATAGCAATATTCAAACAATATCATCGCAAACTTCATATTTAACATAACAATATTGCAGCGACATTGTCACAAACTTGCCTCGTATATTTGGCGCAGCAATTTAGATCCAAGGAAAATCAAATTTACCCCAAGTTAGCATGCTATCTGGAATCTAAGTTACGAACTTTTTAAATTTCAGTTTTTAATATGCTAGTTCAAAGGAACGGAAATGACAGTCTTTGGTCCATTCGTTTCCTGCAAAAATCAACTTTTGCTAGAGTCGCCATGTAGTGGAGGAGCTTTTTAAATGCCTTATTTCATAATCTATCTGCCATGAATGTCCCGACAAAATTATTCTAACCGTTTCAAAGTTTAGTCATAACAAACAGACACAAAAAATGTAAAAAAAAAAACATGATTTTGGCATTAGAGAGTTAATTTGTATTTGTAAAAATAAAACCGTAAGATCCGCTCATTCATTCATCGGGAATTCCCCGATCAAAGAGTAAAGTTACCTATTTGTTCGTGGGAGTATTCCAGGGTTGCCATAATAGGTAATAATAGAATATCTACTAATAATATTCACACTCGCGATCCGCTATGGATTGCTGAGCCATCGAAGTAAAGGTACTATACGTATAGGTACTATACTAACGTTTTAAACTTTTCCTATTGCTAATGTTTTAAAAAATAATCGATGGTTAATCGTTGATTAGCAAATTATAATCGATAGCGACTGATTATTTGAAAAATCGATTAATTGATTAATAATAATCGATTCCGCACACCACTACTTTATAATACTACTCTATGGCATAAAGTTTGTGTAGTTGTGTAGTAAAAATAATTAGAATAATTTATTTTGAGCAAGAATTGATAAAATAGTTACTTAAAATAAAACCATTAAAATTGACACAACATGTCTGTAATAGCTGTTAGGAATATACCTATTAGCAAACTGGTCAGTTTCATTTATAAAGCTTACTTGTATGCTCTTATTTATATGAGTATCATTTTAATGGTATTTTCTATTTACAGTGGAATATGAGAAAAGTAATGTTAGAATTAGCTAAGTACATAAATGGCCAATTCGACGGGCTCCACTTAAAAAGAGGCAAATCTACCAAGACTGCGTATTTAAGGCTATCTGAAAAGTTAGATCCTATACGAGTCGTAGAGATAATCAATCGACAAAAAGCAGGAAAAAAAAAAGTCAAGCTTATGGCCTTTATACCGGACGTAATTCCCGATGTAAGTTTTTTAAATTGAATTTTAATATTAAATAGCATTTCAAATAAATTTTCGTAAAAATTCAGTGCTAGAATGACTCATAATACTCTGGTTTCATGGTGTCGGGTCGGCCTTTCCGTCCTGAGTGCGATAACATTTGAGTCTGTGTAGTTTTCTTGTTATAGTAGACCAGAACTGGGTGTTTGTTTGTGGGACAATCATTATTTCAGATTTCAATAACACAAGAGTATGTTATGTTATTAATAATTTATAATTCCATTAACATGACACCTGAGGGCCTTTTCATTTGTCCTCAAATGAAAATTTGAAATCATTCTTATAATTTCTGAAAAATCATAACTGTAGATTATCTGTGCATTAGACTGTCAGGTCCTTCCTCTGTTGCATTATAATTTTTTTGGAATCAATAGCATTTAAAAAATCGACAAAAAAATATTCAGTTCAGTTGATGATCCTCAACACATGTTATCTCCACAGAATATCTGATTTACCTCAAAACGGGTATTATCTCTAGGTTACGATAAGAACCACTGTTTCTGATATAATTCAAATTTTAATCTTAAAACTGGTAGTTGAAACAGGAAAAACAAAAAAAGAGTCCATAATTATGTTGACTCCACCCGGATAAGGCACTTGGGCGACTTTGGTACAATCGTAACGTACTTTCGTGTGCATTATGGCTTCTCCAAACTTCTCCTCGACTAGCTCCGCCGTTGGTCGGGAGATATACCTCTCGCTCGACGTGACAGCTATCCGAGTGTATGGGGAAACTTTTGCGAATGCTACTGAAGCGTAGGAATTTAAGATTGGACCGGGATTGGGTTTGGTTGCCAACTCGGTCTTTGTCTTTTGGGTTCTCCCCTTGGAGTCTCTTCAAGTCATGCCGTCTTGGTGCTAGACTTTGCCTTTCCCCTTCCCTTTTGGAAGTGGGCGGTTCTTTTCCTAAGTCGGTACCCGTTTCGTGAGAGGCGTTGAATGGTAAAGACTCTTTATTAGAAAGCGATAGCACCGTTACTCTTCTCTATTAAATGTGTGACTGAATATAAGACCTTTCTCTCGTACTACACTAATTATTTTCTTATATTTGAGCTGTTAATTCAAAGTTGATTTTTATTTACTATTTAATATATTATACCCTTCTCGAAGGATGTCAAATAGCCTATTACTCTATTCATAATTTTAATTGTTCCACAGCTTCCTGTGCCTAAGTCTTTCAAAAAAAAGAAACAAGCTGAACTAGGACCGCCTCAACCACCAGACCAGGTAAATGAAATCTATCTATTTCATTGTTCATATCTAAGCAAAATACAGGTTCAGAAAACCTAAAAAAAAGTTTTAAATTTAGTAATACAGATATATATTTTATGTATAAAAATAGTATCTCTTTTTACGAGAAAAAAAAGACAAAATTTGTATTTTGTTTGAATATTTGATAAATAATCTCTAAAATTTATTTATATATTTCATATTATCTGAGCTGTACGTAATATACGCATCATGAATCGAACTAATCGCCAGAAAAATGCTGAATGTACTTTTCATAATAGATCAATGCAATCTAGTGCGGATGATGCGATTAAAATGCAATCTTAAAGCATTTTACTTAAATTTAAAATGTAACTGAAAATGTGCCTGAATCAATATCATCTTTTATTCAACTTAATTGATTTGATTTATTTATTATCAAACGCTTTAGGTGCGGTTGATATTTCTGTCAGTTTCAGTCAGTTGCTTAAATAAAGCACTTTTTTGTTACAGGTTTTATTTCTAGCACATCATGAAATTTTAGTAGAACTTCAGAGCAAGTACACAGAGTTATATAAACTAAGCAAGAGCAATGATCACAAGTTGATGAAAGAAATTGCTAAGGTAAAGACACTTTCTATTAGACATATACTAAGATGGCCCTCAGTTTTAAAAGCCTATGCACGAAAAAACATACCAGAATATATTTCAATGAATTATCCAGTGATAATGGACGACTCGATAGGACTCTTAAAAAGTTGAGTCGAATAAAAAAAAAGTAATTAGTTGTCAATGATTTAATAAAAAATAATAAATATTTGTTGCAGACTGTGTTTGAACGCTTGAGACATATTCTAAATACTAACGCCGAGAATGCTAAAACACCATTTATACTTAGCAAAACATACAGGCAAGTAATTTATTTAAAATAAATATGATTGTTTCACACAAATGACGTAACTTTTGTGATACAACTCGTCTTCTGGCGAAAATTCACAGATCACAAATTGCCTAAGTATCTAAAACACTTGGATAATAGAAATCTGAAACAATAAAAGTACCATAACACTCAGACCCGTAACAATACATGTAAAAAGGCTCATTTTCTATATAGACCCATTCGAAAAGCAAAACTTGGAGCAACCGGAGATGTCTATTTAATTTTTTTTTTAATATTTTATTTTATATATGTAGGAAGTCGTACCCGCATTTTGCTGATTTCCAACTGGTTTTGTCAACCCTGCACTGTATAGAGGACGCGGCGGGTACTCCTCGCACTCAACTATTGGAGCACGAGCTAACAGCCCCGTCCTATGACCTCTCAGGTACAATAATTACATTCTTTCACACATTTTATAATGGTGATTTGTCGCATTTATTAAAAAATAATGTTATACAGGCGACTTTTGTCAGTTTTTGACTCTTACATTCATTGTAAGACTAAGAAATTGCTTGCCATGCCATGCCACCTCCCAAATAAGAGTGTACTAGGCAGTTGCCTAGTTTACCTTTATAGAAGCAGCAGATTCTAGGCAAGAGGGACCATTTATACATATTTTATTGAATATTCAAGGCAGGCGCTCAGGCCTTCCTTATGGATGGTTAAGCAGAATGGGCCATGACCCTCCACGCTGGCCCAATGCGGATTGGAGGGTATTAACGACTGCAAATGCAGCCGGGGCCAACGGCTTAACGTGCCTTTCGAAGCACGGAGTAGCTCGAGATAATAAAAATTTTTTGGTCACCCATCCCGTGACCGACCCTTGCGAAAGTTGCTTAACGACTACGATCGCGGGCCGCGGCGCTTATCCACTACGCCGCAATTGTAAAGGTCACAATTGAAATAATAAATAATATGTCATATGCGCGTAAAAAATTATTAATTGTATAAAATGTACTGTCAATTAGTCATGCATGTAGTTTTATTTTAAATATAGATCCAGTCAGTGATCGTATCAGCAGGTAATGCATTAAATATTTAATTTGGCTCCTTATTGTGCTAATTGAAATGTGTGTTGAAACATTGATTCCTAGCTAGTTTCAGCTAGGAATCAATGTTTAAAGTAGTTTGTTCTTTTTAGCTCACGGTGAAATTCCTTATGAGAAGGTGGTCAAAACGTGTCAAAAGTATTCGAACAAGATAGAGGTGAAGGTAAGAAGATAAAGGTTATAATAAGGTATTCCACTCTGTTTGAAAATAAATAAGCTTTTTCTTTCCTTAAAATTAAATCAAAATTTAAACTTTTATATGCTCGCGAAAACGCTGTCTGTCATATTTATGACGTCATTGTGATATGTACACAAAACAGATGCGTAGAGTAGAAGATTAAAAGATGTCAATAAAACAAGAACAATGCCATCTAACGATCGATTATGAAATATAAAGATATAAATAAGCTAAGAGCAGCGCGATCTAGGAAGTTGATTTGTAATTATTCACCATATCTTCGACTATTCTGACAACCGTCGCCACAGTGACGTCACACAATGGCGGGTCTTGTTTCAGGTCACGTGACACACATACAATAAATGGAGACTTTTTAATTTTAAGTTAATAAGAATTCGAAATCAGAATCCTCTGTGTTTATTATGATGTAAATTTAAGTTTTTGGGCAATTTCGTTACTTATCTTTCACTACCGAAACTACCCTATTGTCGGGTTTTATTTAGATTATTGAAGAATGTTTAAAATTTTTTGCATAATCAATTGCAGCGAAACATTTAATTGATATGACATGAGACGTCACACCTTTGTACATCTTCTACGTAGTTGTGACGTAGCGAGCCCCGACTCCTCAACTTTGTTAAATTGAAGCAATGAAATTCTCGTATCTGATATTTTTATATCATATAACTGACGGATTAAATAGAATTTCTTTTTTTTTATCCAGTCAATTATTTATTTTACCTCTATTATTTATTTACTTATCCTTGTCTGTTTTATAGCCTCATTTTTGAGAATACCAATGTAGACAGTAAACGAAAACATTTTATTTCTGGTAGTGCTTAATATACTATTACTGATAATCACAAATATTTTTTTATAAATATTTCATGCGTTATCACGTGACCGCTAACTGCGTGTGACGTCACGCCCCTCTTACTGATTACACAACTTAGAGAATTAAACCTTATGCACATTATTTGATTTAATGGTTCCATTCAATTGGACGTCTAGTTTTCTAGTTGAATCATTATGACATTTGGACCGTTCAACAAGATGGTTGATTTAAAAGCCGCCAAAACGTTCATTTAGTTTTTTATCTGTAAACAAAAACTTAGATTTTTTTTTTTTAACTTGGTACCAAACTTTGTAATCGTTATAAACATAATGAAACAATCACAGTCAAAAAACAAGCCGCCTGAATCGCGGTATATCTTGTATTAGTGTTAAGAATTTATTGAGAAATTTTAAGTTTAACCCCTTTGATGTGTACACTGGGTCATATGGACCATTAGTACTTAGTCGCGACCTAGTAAGCAGTTTGTTATAAATTTTTTGGTCGTGACTGTATCGATTACAAATCGTAACAAGGAGGTTTTGAGTTTCATATAAACCTACTTCTAATCTTACCAATAAATTTCGGTATTTCTAATGAATTGACAGTTAATTATTTAGCTGAACTTTGTTCAGCCGCATAGCAGAACGTTGAAATGCGTAATTCAATTAAAGAGCTAGCTGCCCAATTGAATGGCTGATTAACTACTTGGCACGATTTACATATGTACATAAAACGATTTTGCGATCATTAGTTTAAGAAGAGCGTCTTCTGTCAGGGCGTGCCGTCAAGGAAAAAAATTTGAAATATGATTTTATTTTTACGTTTTAACTTATGATAATATATGTATATCTATAAAATAAAAATTCTCTACACCCCTATTGCCCATCTTGGGATATAGGTATGTGTATGTATACAAGAAGTTCACAGAAGTAGCCCGTTGGCGTAATGTTAGAGCATTCGGTATTCGATGCGAAAATTTCAGATAGCAACGTTCTCAAGGGTCTGTCATTGGATGGGTGACCAAAAACTTATTACCTATCTCGTGCTCGGGCACGTTAAGCCATCGCTTACGAATCTGCAGTCGTTAACACCCACCATTCCGCATTGAGCTCGCGTGCTATTCCATTCGATTCCAATGGGCTGGTGATGTTCATTATTTATTGGGAAACGTTTTAAGGTTACAGAGTACATAAATGGGCTCAAGACGGACATCGAACCAGAGAACGCCACCCCGGAGGAGCTCGCTAGACACAGAGTGAGGGTGGAGCTCAAGAATATATTACCTTACATGGGACCGGTGAGTTATTATTTAAATTTTCAAAAAATATAACATATTTTTCTTCAAAATAATTGAAAATTACCGATTTCGATACTGGACTAGTAAGTGTCAAGTATTTTGAGATAAATAGAAAAACACTGTAGAAAATGCAGAATTCACAATAATAATAGTAGAAATTGTTTGTAATTTTGTACAAATAACAAAAATATTATAAATATTGAACAGGCACATTCTTTTTTTATGGTACCGTAGCAACGTGTGACGTCAATTTGTGGCTTGTATACGTACAAGTATAGCAACGTATTTCCGAAACTATTAATCGCAGACATGCTGTTACTTAATACTTTAACATAATTTCTTAGATATTAATGGACTATCTATACCAGAGATTCCCTAAGTGGTCCAGGTGGACCCCCAGGGGTCCACGAGTGATTCAACGGGGTGTACGTACTCACCCGTGACGCCAATTTCCATCGTTAGATCTTCACATTTTGGACTTTTGGGAATATGGTAAAAATGTAGCTTCAGGGGGTCCACCGAAACCAGTAAATTTTTTAAATGGTCTACGAGAAAACAATATTGGGAACCCCTGACCTATACTAATAATATTATAAAGAGGAAAGATTTGTTTGTTTGTATGTTTGTTTGTTTGTATGTTTGTTTGCAACGAATAGGCTCCGAAACTATAGGACCGATTTTAAAAATTCTTTCACCCACGGAAAGCTACATCATATGCGGTGAACTTAAGCTATATTTTATCCTGAAAAACAGCAAATAAAGTGATGAAAATGGGAGTGGAAATTTGTATGGGGAATTAAAACGTCACTTTAGTAAAGGCTAATTTATTTTATAAATAAGAAAGAAAGTAGTAAACTACCCCATTGTGTGTTTTGTACAGATGCTACGTCAAGTGGTGACGACAAATTTCGCTTGCCCCACCACACCATCGCCGATGGCACAAATCAGGATGATTAAAACGTCACCCGTAGTAAAAGCTAGTTTATTTATAAAAAAAAATAAGAAAGAAAGTAGTGAACTACTCCCTTTGTGTGTTTTGTACAGATGCTACGTCAAGTGGTGACGACAAATTTCGCTTGCCCCACCACACCATCGCCCATGGCATACATCAGGATGAAAGTAAGATAACGCTTTGTAAAGTTAAATTACTTGTTAATGCTTATTTTAATTTAAAAAGGACAGCGTATAAACATTAATAATAAATAACAACATCACATACATTGCTCAGATTCCAAGATGAGTAGCTAAAGCTCCCGTATTATGGAGTATCTGAGACAACGAAGGTACCACAACACCCAGACCCGAATCAATATAGAAAAGTTCATTTTCTACATTGACCCGACCGGGAATCGAACCCGGGACCTCAGAGATGGCGACACCTTGAAACCGGCGTGCGAACCACTCGGCTACGGAGGTCGTCATTGTATCTTGTGTGTTTTTTGTACCCGCGAAAAGGTTATTAACCATATTAAATTCACAACATTAGCTTGTAAATAAAATACGCATAGAAAATTTTCGGAGATAAAAGTTTTAAAACGATTTTCTCAAAACAGTCGAGTAATTAAATTGGTACATACATCAACATAATTTGTATGGTATTAATATTAAAATTCAATTGTCAGAGAAAAAAAAAACAAAACCAATGAAGTTCGAAATTTAAATAATTAAGATTATAGTTGGGGCCAGATCCCTCTTTCCCACCGGGCATAATGAGTATACTTAAGGCTTAGGCCCCCTAGTCCCTACTTGATTACCGAACCACAGGTGACATGATGTCATATGACGGATGTTCATATCTACATAATTTTAATTACATTTATACGAGGGTCAAACTGAAAGTTCTTAGAAAATCAAAAACTGATTACATTAGCCAGTTATTAGTTTTATTATATCTTTTCAAAATATTGTCCATTCACGTCAATACACCGCTGCATGCGATGGAACCACTGGGAAAAGCACTTTGCCCACTCGTCCTTAGGGGTCTCTTCAATGGCATCGCGATACGCAGCCACCGCTTCTTCAGCATTCATAAACCGCTTTCCTTTAAGTTTTTCTTTAATTTTTGGAAATAAATAAAAATCACAAGGCGCGAGGTCGGGGCTATACGGCGGGTGACCCAGTAATTCAACGTTTGATGTCGCCAAATAGTCGATCGTTCGCTTGGCGGTGTGCGACGAGGCGTTGTCGTGGTGAAGGAGGATCCTACTGCGAGGTCGTTTCTCTCGAACTTTTTCCAAGACAAGTGGCAAACAATTGGTAGTGTACCATTCTGCAGAAACTGTTTTTTGATCCTCTAACACAATTGTTGCAAAATGACCTATCCTTCCAAAGAACGAGGCCACCATTTTTTTTCCCGCACTTCGATCTCTCTTCACTTTAGTTGGCAACTCCTCGAAAGGAAACACCCACTGAGCAGATTGTCTTTTGGTTTTAGGATCATAACAGTAAATCCAGCTTTCGTCACCTGTTAGTATGTCGAACACAGCATTTGAGTCACCTCCGTTAAATCTTTCAATCATTTTACGACACCAATCCACACGATGGAGTTTTTGAGCCTCAGTCAAATTATGAGGTATCCACCGGGCGCAAAGCTTCCTGACCGCTAAATGTTCGTGGAGGATTTTGTGCACTTGACTCATACCGATGCCTAAGCTTGTCCGAATCTGTTGATAGGTCACTCTTTTGTCAGTCTCTATCATACGCCGCACAACACAGATGTTATCTTCAGTCGTCGCCGTAGAAGGCCGTCCCTCACGTAAATCATCAGTGAGATTAGTGCGACCACGTTTAAACTCATTAAACCAGTTGTAAACAGTCGCACGAGATGGGGCTTCATCGTGAAAGGCCAATCGTAGTCTATTATAACTTTCTTGTTGACTTAAATGACATCGAAAGTCATAAAAAATCATTGCACGAAAATTTTCTCGTGTTAAATTCATGATGACGTGACACAGACAATTTTCAATTTGCCGCCAAATCGTAAAACAAATGACAAATGAATGAAATATATACTCAGTAATATTGGCAAAGAGTTATATTTTCAAATTTTAGAATTATTTTTTTATTATATTGTTTATAAGTGGCCAGTTCTAAGAACTTTCAGTTTGACCCTCGTATCTTTTCAACTCCTGCCCTGATATCAAGCTAAAATCAAAAGCTTGTATAGTGTCGCTAGTGTCGATAGAATGCGATATGCTCGGAATCATAGATCTTGAAGATGTGATTATAAATTTTAATAAATTAAGATGTAGAAGGATACTGTGGAGCAGTATCCTTCTACATCTACATCAGCAAGAAAGACTATGCTAATTGGAGAGGAAGGAGAAACGTGGATGCCAGACTTAGTCTCGGTTTTACCATAATTGCAGTTGAGTTTTATGAAAATTTTGACAATATATGTCACGTGAATAATATTTATTTAATCTTATTTGCCTAAAGAAATAGACAAATGGCGGACTTAATGCCAAATAGGCATTCTCTACCAGTCAACCAGTAAATTTAGTAAAAACTTGAAGTTAAAGAGGCAACAGACATAACGAATGTTATATAATAATAATTTATTTCTCTTCCACTCTTTCATTGAAGTTACAATGAGGAAGTATTTAAAAAAAACATTAGTTCCCGAAATCAAACTAGATGTCGCTACGGAAGGTACGTTCTTGATTTCTCCATGACAACCTTTCCGGTTTTCTTTCAAGTTTAAAAGTAAATTAGTTTTCAAAACTCATTAAACAACTCATATGCTATTTGTACTTTTTCGTATTTGTATTGATATCTAAGTTTCGAACTTTTCAAACTTCAGTTTTTTTATATATTATATGTTAAAAAACCGAAATTGTATGTTATATTTAAAATCAACTTTTGCTAGAGTCGCCATCAAGTGGAGATGCTTTTTTAGTTGAGGCATAATTCATCATCATCATCACCACCCCTTTTACGTCCTCACTGCAGGGGCTCAGGCCTTCCTTATGGATGGTTAAGGAGGACGGACCAAGACCCTCCACGCTGGCCCGATGCGGATTGAATGGTATTAACGACTGCAAATGCAGCCGGAACCAACGGCTTAACGTCCCTTCCGAAGCACAGAGGAGCTCCAGATAATAATTTTTTGGTCACCCATCCCGTGACCGACCCTTGCGAAAGTTGCTTAACGACTACGATCGCCACCGAGCTACAGAGGCATAATTAGTAGCATTGATTTAACATTTATTCGTATATATAGATTTACGGCGAGCCTTATTTACCTACACGTGACCACTTGGAGCCGGTTATGAAGAAGTTCGACGCGTTTAAGATATTACGTGCGGACCATATCTGCAACATGGTGCGATTCACCATAATACAACGACATTACTCAGCTCTGATGAAGCTGGACGGCACTGAATTAGGTTTGTTATTTATATTATTAGACCAGCACACCAATATGGAATATGCATATTTTTGAAAACGATTTCATATGATATTTTTCAATGCAGTTGCTCATAAAGCGCCATTTTTTTTATCCATTGTAAACATCGAAAGTGAGTCTTTAAATACGTGTTAAATAAAAATGTACTGAAATCCTTTACTGAACACGTGCTTAAAAATTTTTTTTTTGTAATTTTTATTTGGCCGAGCACCAAAGAAATTTTAAAAAAATTGATGAAAAACTTTAGAGGCAAAAGTATTTCAAAGAGCCTAGAACGAATATTGTCAAATAAAAATGTAGGACACGAAAACATGTTCAAATATCACGTTTATAAGTAACAAGTACGAGCAGTTTAAAGGCCGGAATTATTGGCTCGCTTGTCGTGACGTCATAGTACACGACTAGTGATATGACATTTTAAATCAATATAGATTTTAAGTGACTGATTATTATTCAATACTTACGTCACACTTTAAGGGGAGAGGGAGGGGGTCGACGAAGTGTGACATTGTGTGACAAGAGGGTGGGAGGGTCCTAAATTTCGTGAAACCACATTTCAAAATCTATTATAATCTAAGTGTTAAAACACGAACTTTATACTATTACTTTACAAATACCTTGCAAAATATATGACGTCACACTAGGAGGGGGGAGTCTTACAAATGTGACCAGCTGTGACTAGGACGGGGGGAAGGACAAAAAACTCATGAAAATCGTGTGACGTAATTTATGGATGACCCCTTAACAACTAATCGATATTTTGAATAATCATACAATTTACCAATTTGTGGAAATATAGAAGTCTTAAACATCATTTAAATTATAATCTGTTGTTTATTTTGCGACATAATACATTGGTGATATCCCTATACGTGTACATTTACGTCACATCCGCTCTGAGTTGCATAGCGTTTGAATGTTTTCAAGTTACCACATTTTTTTGCACTTTTCAATAATTATTTTCAAGACGCAAATGAACTAATGTTGAAAAATATTTACATACACTTTATTCTAAAGCAATAATGATCGTCATAAAATGTATTTAACCTTTTTTTTAATCAGACGCATATTCCCTATTCTGCTGATCATCATCATCAGCCCTTTTACGTCCCCACTACAGGGGCTCAGGCCTTCCTTATGGATGGTTAAGGAGGATGGGCCATGACCCTCCACGCTGGCCCAATGCGGATTGGAGGGTATTAACGACTGCAAATGCAGAAGAGACCAGCGGCCTAACGTGCCTTCCGAAGCACAAAGTAGCTCGAGATAATATTTTTTCGGTCACCCATCCCGTGACCGACCCTTGCGAAAGTTGCTTAACAACAACGATCGCGGGCCGCGGCGCTTATCCACTACGCCACCGAGCTACTTTGAATCTTTCGTAGTCACTTTCAAATTGACATTTCAAAGACATTCGCGTACTACACACTGCAACTATTCGACTTGTGATAATTATTGCGATCGCACCGTTATTTGTAAGTAAATGAACGATATTGTAGATTTAACGTTAATTGGAAATTTCTACCGCATATAATATCTTGGAACCCCTCCAATCCGCATTGGGCCAGCGTGGAGGGTCATGGCCCATCCTCCTAAACCATCCATAAGGAAGGCCTGAGCCCCTGCAGTGGGGACGTAAAAGGGCTGGTGATGATATCTTGGAAAGATAACAAGAAATGTCCAAAGAAATGCTACCTGCAATCTTTCGATCGGTTTACGTAAGTTTCACGATCATTTAATTCAATATTAAATGCGAAAGCGATGGTCACTTTAAAAGTTGCATAATTCCAAAAATCGCTATTACAATCGCTATACCTTTGAAAGGGACTGCGATAGATTTTAAAGCTATCGCTATACCTTTGAAAGGGATTGCGATAGATTTTAAATCTAGATAATTACCCCTCATAACTCTTGTTATAGGATACGACATTTTAGCGACGCTAGTAGAAGTATTTCGTTTCATTTCGCTATTTTGACATAAACTTTAATAAGGGGCCGTCCATTAATCACGTGATGTTTTTTCAACATTTTTTGACCCCCCCTCCCCCTTGGAGATACATGGTCAGGTTTGAGTCTACCCCCTCCCTCGTTCAACCAAATCACGTGTATTAAAAAAAACAACAAAAATTCTAATTTTTGACGTCGCTTTTCGGTTTAATAATCGAGCGTCGAGGAAAAAATAAATACATGTGATATAATACTACACCCCCCCCCACCCCCCTGTAATATTTCGTGATTTTTGACGAATCCCCCCCCCCCCCCCCCTTCGAGCCTCACGTGATTAATGGGCGGCCCCTAACGAGGAACAAATGATAAAAAAATTAACAGTGTTACAAACTTAGTAATTGATCACTAATTTATGCACTAAAAAATATGCCAAAGTAGTAAAACGAAAAGATATTTCTCCATAACATGCCTAAGATGTCGTATCTACGACTAGAGAGTTAGGGGCCATCCATAAATTACGTCACACGTTAGGAGGGGGGGGGGGTCGACGAACTGTGACATTAGAACAATATTTAGTAGAATTTATGGACGGCCCCTTAGGCGGTCGTTCTCCAGCCGAAATTTACACGTGTAACACAGTTCACATTATTATTAATTATAATAATAATTGTATATTTATTTGTGGTCGCCACTTTGAAACTTCCCCTAGCTTTCTCATTCTTCATTGTCCATTCTTGTCACTTCACTAGGCTTATCCATACTAATATTAACAATCCAAAAGTAACTCTGTGTGCGTCCTCCGTGTGTATCTGTTACGTTATTTAGACATTATTTAGCACACTAAAGTGGACTAGTTGAAATATTGGGATGAATACTACTTTTTTCTTTAGTATTCATTATTGTAATAAATCAATTATTAGACTTTTTTAAATTCGTATTATTTGTTATTAGGTGGTGCGAAATTAGTCATCAGAAAGTCTGTGATGGAGACGTACAAGGTACCAGAGGTGTTAATTAAAGAATTGAAAGCCCTCCTCAGCAGCGATCGAGAAATGCCCGAACCGGAAATGAACGATGAGGATATGGAAGATTGGGGAGAAGAATTGTAAACTTCATTCCATTCCAAAGTTTTAGTTTTTCGGTTACAGACTATATGCTATAGCTAATAAGGTCTTTTTTATGTTTAGTGTATTTATGACGTCATTTCGCTAGTAATTTTAAATGTAAAAATATTTTGACGGTTGAAAGTAGTGAAAATGAAAAAACAGTGCTATAATAATGTTGCCAATTAAAATCTGTCAAATTGTATTACGCTCGTTACGTAGTGATTTACTCAAAATAAATCAAAATTTGCAACTGTGAGGTTTAATCGTTATAATTAATGATACACTGAAAGTTGACATTTTCATTAAAAGAATAGAAGGAAGGTGAAAGTGAGTATTCGAATAAAGTTTTTGAGTATAAACTTTTCAGTTTCATTGATTTTTTTTTTAATTCCTCCGACCTTTAAGATGTATCAAACAACGATTCCCAAATCCGGTTTTGTCCCAAATGACAAAACCGGATCCTACCCAAAGAATCAATTTAAATGGACAGAATTATAAATTTATAAAAATTATGTTTAAAATAAATTAAAATATATGGTGCTGATCACAATTCTCTAGAACATGCGACAAAATATGACATAAAAATAATACATTTATTTTATAATAGTGTTTTATATATTTACGTATTTTAAGTATTGGTGTTACACAAAGAGTAAAGTAGTGCTACAGCTATGATCGCAACAGTCAAAATGAAGTATTTAAAACAAAACATTAGTTCCCAAAATCAAACTAGATGTCGCTACGATACGTTCTTGAATTCTCCATGACAACTCTTTCGGTTTTCTTTCATGTAAATTAGTTTACAGAACTCAATAAACAACTCATGTTCTATTTGTACTTTTTCGTATTTGAATTGATATCTTAGTTTCGAACTATGCAAATTTCAGTTTTTAATATGTTAGTTAAAAGATCAGAAATTATTGTCTTTGATCCATTCCTTACCTGCAAAAATCAATTTTTGCTAGTGTCGCCATCCAGTGGAGGAGCTTTTTTAGTGCTTTCTCTTTTTAAATACTTCCTTATTAATTTGCGTTAAGATGCACGCATATTATAAACACAGTCCCCAGTAATGAACTTCAGATTAATTAAAAAAATACAGCCATCTGAATCGTATTGATGTGATCAATTAAAAATTAAATGATTTGATCAAGAGAACTTACAGCCATTTGGTGCCCCCCCCCAGGACAATAGACCCGGGGCGGATCGTCCCCCTCCACCCCACCCCCTAATCCGATATTTTTTTTTAATTTAACGTTTTTAATATTTGTGTGAAACATATGAGATTATTTTTTCACCACATCAGGTGTATTTTACATGTTACTTACATATAATGTAACACCTAGACGTATTTTTCAAACTCGGATATTAGTGCAACTATCTGTCCAGATATACTTATTCTATAGAATTGTATGACGTTTGCGTGACGTCAGACATTCTGATTTGTGTTCATTTTTTTTCAAGTAATTGCCAAGTTACTATCTTTTTTAAGTTAGAAGTTAATTTATGCATAATTTAATAACTTCCATTTTATTAATTAAACCTTCTTCTTGAATCACTGTGTATATTAATGAAAACAGCATTAAAGTCCGTTGTGTAATTGAAAAGGGCTCAGATTACAGACAGCGGATAATGAATTTTTTTTTTAAATACGGACTTAAAGACTTTTATATATAAGTGTAAAAAACAAACAAAAGTTAATAAATAAAACATTTATTGAATTTTATTTAATATATGTCATAAATATTACAAAAAGGAATACAAAATCTCAAAAAATGCATTGTCAATGCAACAGATTGAATTTCACCAAAATGTATAGAGATACTATATAGAAATATATTTTTAATTTGAGGTTTATATATTTTTAGTAAAGATGTTTACAACTTGTCTAAAAACAACCTAAGAAAAAGAAAAAAAAACATTTTGATATGGAATGAGTATTCGTTGAATAAAGAAATACTGCTTCACTTAAATTTAAATGTTTACAATTTGTACATTGAAAGACGATAGTTTATACCAAATACGGCGGATTAATTTCGACATAAAAGTTAGTATAAATGAATCTTCATACCCGTATTGAATACAATGATAAAGTATTAAACTTGAATATTAATTAACATTAATTTGTGACTTAGAATCAATAAGAATCTCTTAAAAAATATGTCTCAATGTACACAGTTATTATCTGTCAAATGAAAGTTGATTATAGGATAATAGTCTAAATAGTCCGTGTATAATATTTTAGTATATATAAATATGGAAATAGATCAAATCACATACATTGAGACTTAAGTAAGTTGTAAAGGTAGGTTTACATTGGCCCTTAGGCCTTAAAAATAAGGCGTTTTATAGGCAAATCGTTAATCTATCAATACACTATGCGATTCAGCCATTCTTTCAGCGAAAACGTAGCGTACTCGCCTCCCGACGATAGTTGTTTGAGAGTATCTGAAATAATAATTAATTAATTAAAACTTAAGTTTGTAAGCGTGCTGAGACCGTTTACAGATTACGATAGAGCTTACGCTATAAAAAAAGATTGTTTAAAGTATTTAAGTGTCGTAGTTTTTCTTTCAATTAAATATGTATAGTGATTTTAAACATTTATGTACTAAGTTTTTGCATTAATTACACTGTCGTAAATGAGGTTTAAAAATATCGAAATGTAATCGCTATAAAAAAATAAAAAAAAATAAAAGAGTTTTCTTAATTCAGCATTGTAATTCACACTATTATTATAATCGTTTGATGCAGCAATTACATTTCGATATCTGTGAATAGTTACACAAAATAGAGCAAGTACAGAAGAGCCACTTGTTTCTTTTTCATAAATAATACTACTTTTTTTAAACGGATATGAGATGTTTATATTTTCATTTTAAGATATTTCGGATCCATTCCAGGTTCTGTGATTCAATAATTATCATCACCCATCCCTTTTACTTCCCCAATAAAGGGGATCAGGCCTTCCTTATGGATGGTGAAAGACCCTCCGAGCTGGCCCAATGCGGATTGGAGGTTTATTAACGACTGCAAATGCAGCCAAGACCAACAGCTTAACGTGACTTCCGAAGTACGGAGCAGCTCGAGATAAAAAAGATTTGGTCACCCATCCCGTGACCGACCCTTGTGTGGCGACTGATACATAGCGACATCTAATTCATCGCAGTAACATCGCCACAACAATCGATAGCGAGAAGACTAGCATCGTCACAGCCATCGATAGCAAGACGAACTGCAATAAGTTTCAACAGCAAGTAACGAGATGGCGCTGCACCAAGACAAACAGCATAAATTAATAACTACAAGACATTTAGAACAAAGAAACCTACATCACACAGAATAAGTTTAATTACCAATTAACATAAATAGAACGTCCAACCTACATCGGTTGGACCGCGGTCCCCGGGCTAACAACACCTAGCTCGGAGGGAGACAATTATCCTTTAGTCTCCCTGACCAGTTGTCTCCTTCACCACCATAGGGACCCACATATCCAACCTTACGGTTCCTAAACTTGCAATAGTTGCTTAACAAGAACTGTCGCGGGCCATGGTGCTTATCCACTACGCCACAGAGTAAATTATATATATTAGTAAGTATGAAATGGATTTTTATTAAAATGTATTAGGTTTGGGAGAAACAATTATCGTATGAATTTCGGCTTAGATTATTGTAAATTTATGATCGCATATGTTCTATAAAATAACACGAGCTTCGGTATGTGGCAATTCGCTTGATTTGCAAATTATAATAACCATCCTATATTTTTATTTTGAAGAAAAAATTAATGAAATATGACCTCTATCTTATAGCTATATCTTATAAAGAAGTAGTAACTCATTTATTTGCTCCAGTTTATTCAGATAATTATTTTTTATTAGAATACATGTTTCATAATAATACATAAGTCTAGCATTAGCAGTGATTTTGTTAAAATCAAAACTTGTGATTCTCGTATACGTATCTATTTCATAGTATATACATAGTATATAGTATACTCATATATATATCATTATATACTTGTGTTCACGTGTCCTCTGCTCACGGAACCCCTTGCAGCTCGCGCTCGAGATTCTCGAGAGGTTCGTTGTTTGCTGTTTTTACCACATATATTAATATAGTTTTATTTATTAATTTATTCATCAGTTTATTATAGTCTCCAATGCTGGGATAAGGATATGAATAGGGAGAATGGGAATGCCCCACCACGCGGGCTTGGACCGTATTAGTACGTAACTATTTTAGATGCAGCCGGGACTAATGGCGTAACGGAGGAGCTCGATATAATAAATTTTCGGTCACTCATCTTACGACAGATCCCCGTGAAAATTACTTAGCTTCCGCATCGCAGACCGAACGATACAACTATTATATTGGATAAATAAATTCGCAATTAGTATTTATCACAGAATACGGAAAAAAGGCTAGAAAGGCGATGTCGCCAGTCTTGCCCCACTTTTAGTCCGCCGTACATCAGACGAAATATCAGACCAATTATACAAAAGATATGCACACACTTGCATTTTAAACATGCCAATCAGAACGCTCATAACTATAACCAATAACGCTCAACCATAACAGCCATCTATAGTGCGCAATAAACGTGTAAAAGCCATTTAAATTTGACATATCACACTAGTGATTGACATAAAGTTATTTACTATCGATATTGAAAAACAACAAGTCGATTAATTGAAAGGATACTAGAGTAATTATTTATTTATATTATTTTGGATATACATTGAATTGTATTGATTAAATGTGACATTATCTTTTTTCTTTAGATATTAATTCTTTATTAGTTGGTTGATTCAATGAGGAATAATTAAATTACTAATTACTCATGAACTAACATTGAATCTGTACTAGTCGAGGTTAAATAATTATTTGCATATGAATATGTTTGTTTACTAATAATAATAGTAGGTGACTTTTTTACGTTACGTTACTCGATTTCGTATCAAGTAAACAGATAAGATCGGCAACATCGCTTAAATGAAACTAGTAATATTGACAAACAATATAATGTAAATAAAATATACAAAATAAAAAAATACTATTAGTACAATAGATGCTATTGGAACTAGGTTTCCGATGATTTAAAAAGTATTGTTGTTAATGGTTCAAAATAAAAAATAAAACTAATTTTCTGTTACAATATTAAAAATATAAATCAGATTTTTTACCACACTCATTATTAAATTATTATATAAACGCATACCAAACGAAGTCAATAGGGTTACATTTTATTTATTGCTATTGTAAATCTCTGATTAAATTTATTTATTATTACCACTATTTTTATCGTTCATACTTTTATTTAGTTTTTGCCAACACACCAAGTATCGATTAAATGTTTCCAGGCACTTCACTACCCATCTACCGCAATCTATTATGCTACTATTTAAAACGGTGATATCGTAATGTTCTTTACATTACGTGCTTAGTACAACGCGATGAAATAAATATGCGCACTTCTCTAGCAATGTATATTTTCTTGGAAATATTTTTTGTGATTCACACTTTTGATAACATTTCACGAATTTCGACTAAATATACTAAATTTGAGAAGTGTTCTACTTACTAATGGAAAGAAATCCTTCCTTTGGACCTACTTGAGGATGGGCTTCTTGTTTTGCAATTAATAACTGCGCAAGTCGGCATTTTTAACACTTTTAGTGGCGTGTTTCACAGTACTTACAGCGCGCGCGTTCGTTAATGAGTAAACATCGCGATCGCGTTATAAAATCAATCGTTTCTGAAGTCAGTGATAGTAACAGAATATTTTGTTACATTTTGAACTAACTTTCTCAAAAGTAAACTACAAGTAAAGACAAAAAATATTCTATTAACGCCTCCACGTAATGGCACATGCCTTCTGTTTGATTAGAATTATACAGGGAGCAACAAAATGATCGACACAGCCGAAAGTTTCAAGTTAATCGAGATACTAACTATCCTGCGATCAGACTAAATCCGCTATCTACCTATATATTATTTCCATTCTAGAAATATCTAAGTTAGTTATTATACTTGATCAATTTGGCATTTTGCCCGCTGTGCGAAAGGTCATGGGTTCGAGTCCCATCTCAGAGTGCCAGAGATATAGTGGATTGTTTTGGCATTTTACATTAACAATGTAGTAGTTGTTTGGTTCATAACGAAACTGCTGTAGACCTTTACATAAAGGAACAACAATGTCCTTTCTGATCTCCCATAAAATACCAAGATAAATTTTAATTCTGGGGCACTAATTAATGTTCATAAAACAGCCCTGCGATTCTATGTCCGAATTCGTGTCATTAAGTGAAAAAAAAAATCTATCGATTCCGTTTTTTGTATAAAAATACAAAACAAAATTGATTGTTTATACGTGCCTCAGATATTCTATTTCTGTGTCATTTCGAAACTCACTTCACTTATGCCACGAAACGTTATTACCAATTCAATATTGAGCGGATGCCGTTTATTGAAGTTAATCCGGACACCTGAGTGGATTTTGCCAGAATCGCATGACTTTAAACGTCACCTTATTTTACTGCAAAATGTCACTCCAATAGATTTTGAACCTTAGTCGGTTGATTTTAAGTTCATTAATGTACAATGGTCTAATAGACTTAACAGTATTTCCTAGTATCAGTAACGTAGTATAATTAAAATTAAAAACGAATATAGTACTAACATAAAACAGAAAAAACAGATTCGATCTCCTGCGCTCATTTCCTAACCAGGATTCATTGTAATTGATTTTATTTAATATGTTACATTTACATTAGGTCGTTGTGTTGTGTATATCTTACCGCACATGGTTTTGAGTCGCACTGCGCACATTGTGAAATCGTCGAACTGTATGTAGCCGTCAGAGGAGCCGTATCTGTTGAATACATTTATTTATATCAATAGATCTTCTTAAACAAACATTTCAATTCATAAAAAATAGATTCGCAAAGAAACATTTACATTTAAAACATCGAAATGTGAACTTTATATAGAATTTCATATTGATTTCTTATATTTCCCGCGCAATATCCATAAATGAAACATAAATGAAAGTTGCCGCTACTATATGGTATATGCCGCTGTTCTACTTATCTATTTTCTTCTTTAGGTTTACTAACCTCTCATAAGTTTTATTTTTACATTAATTATCCTTAATTTTTTACTATTTACAGAGGCTTCATGTTACTGAGATTAAGATGCTGAGTGTCCCTACGGGATAAGGTCAGAAATAACCATATTATGGGTACGCTATAAGTTGCCAATACAGTGATATGGGCACGTTATAGTAGAGAGCATATCGTTTAGCCAAAATTGGATTGGGACAATTATGAAAGATATTAAGACAATGAGACTTCATTCCGAAATCACAACGCCCAGAGTGGCAAAGAAGGATTGGAAGTAGGGTTATCAAATAAAAAAAAAAACAAAATCCCGAACAATATTCGGACTTTCTTGTAAAAATTTATTACGACATTACGTTAGGTATGCGTCGTGTAAGTAAGTGTTACGAATCAAATTTAATATGGTGTTATATAATAATAATAAATATGACCTGTGAAATTTTCTACAAAACTAAAGATTTGGAAGTATTGAACAATACGTCTGGCAGCGTTTAATATGAAAAAAAATGTTTAACAACATTGATTTATAACAAAAATAATATGGTTGATTCCATTTTTAGTTTATCCTTCCACGTAATTGAAAAACATCTATATTTCCGGACTTGTTCGAAAATATCCGGACGTACGATCATTATTGCTAAAGAATAAAGTCTATGTAAATATTTTTTAACATTAGTTCGTTTTCGTCTTGAAAATAATTATTTAAAAATCGCAAAAAAATGTCGTACCTTCAAAATATTCAAACGCCATGCAACTCGTTAGAGCGGATGTGACGAAAACGTACGTATGGGGATGTCACCAATGTATTATGTCGCAAAATAAACAACAGATTACAATTTCAATGATGTTTTGGGCTTCTATATTTCAACAAATTGATAAATTATATGATTATTAAAAATATCGATTAGTAGTTAATCGATTTTTGTAATTGAATAATAATCAATCACTCAAAATCCATATTGATTTAAAATGTCATACCACTAGTCGTGTACTATGACGTCACGACGAGCGCGCCAAAACTCCGGCGTTTAAACTGCTCGTAGTTGTTATTTATTTTCATCAATCATTATTGTTACTGAATTCAAGTTTTTCGGTGCCGAGTATTTTTTACAGTTATAAAACGACGTAAACTAGATTATAAAACCATTAAAAAAAAGTAAGGATTATCGACGCCAAGCGAAATGAGACCTAACTGTATGGATGAAGATTAATAATCCGTGTACGAGTATAGTATACCTGTGAGCTAGTACGTTGAGCATGGGCGCGTTGACCGTGTACCCGCCGGAGCGTAACGCGTCCCTCAGGTGGTAAGTGGGTATACCGCCGCGACCCTCCGTGTCGTACAGACAGAACACGGCCTGAACACATCACATATACATACAATACATGTCTCTTTTTAAAACCTATCACAAATGCCTTTCAGTTGTGATCGGAATTCGCGAAAATCCAACACTTATAACAGATATTTGAAATATCAGATATTTGATACTTATCCGATATATGTCATGCATATGAAAAGATGCGATTTTTAAGCTGCCAGTGGCTTTAATTAATATTTGATACTAGTGGCCGCCAGCGACTTCGACCGCGTTTTACATTATTTCTTCGCTCCTAATAGTTGCAGCGTGATGTTATATAGCCTAAAGCCTTCCTCGATAAATGGTTTATTCAACACAAAAAGAATTTTTCAATTCGAACCAGTAGTTCCTGAGATTAGCGCGTTCAAACAAACAAACAAACAAACACTTCAGCTTTATAATATTAGTATAGATATATCGGGTCCAGGGTGATAAAATAGTAACAAAATGAATTATTAACTTGACATTAACAAACCCTAGGTTCCTTTAATTTTATAAGACATGTCTTTGTCATGTGTTCGTCTTTGTAGCTACCTGAAGACTAATGTCATTAAACCAATGTGTTTCTCAAAAATCAATTTCGACTAATATATTTCTATACCGATTTCTATGATTCTTTTTTATGGAATACTTAATACTATTAACTTTTTTAATTAGGGATGACTGAAAGTGTTATAAACGTAAGAGTAGACAATAGATAAAAACAATCAGAAAGTTTCGAACTGCTAAGCTATCGGGAGTTACACGTGTTATTCTGAGTAAACCATAAAAGATAGACATATGCTGTCGTGGGATATTTTTTATATAATTTTAAGGAGAACATTTCCGACATACATGATTTCTGGGTAGCTTTAACCATTAAGGTTGCACACGCGACGGAAGCCCAAAAAAATGGAGTAACTTCTCCCGTTTTCCCAACATTTCCCTTCACTGCTCTGCTCCTATTGATTGTAGCGTGATGAAAAGTATACTATAACTAGCTCAGGAGTATGAAAAATAATTTTTTAACCAAGTTTCGTTAAAATCCGTCGAGTAGTTTTTGTTTCTATAACGGTTATACAGACAGACAGACATACAAAAATTTTACTGATTGCATTTTTGGCATCAGTATCGATCCCTAATCACCCCCTGATAGTTATTTTGGAAATATATTTCATGTACAGAATTGACCTCTCTACAGATTTATTATAAGTCTAGATTTTAAATCAAAAGTGTAAAATACAGATTGAGTTTGATATATTTTTTTTTATTTGTCTTAAAATTATTGAAAACTATTATGCGTGCGAGGATCTCCATTAATGTATAGGGGAATACCCGACTTATTACCTACTTATTACAATAAACCGTATAACGCGAACATTAGTATTAAATTTTAAGAAGAAAAAAACTTTCCATCTTCGCGGTCATATTACGGGGAAAACCCTAATTTTCTAGTAAATAAGATTGTTACTTTGAACCAATGTTGCCAGCGTCACATGGCATAAATATTATAAATATCAATTGATATATATGATATATACGTTGATATTTATCAACGAATCCGAATTGCTATCGTGATTTATGGAATTTGGTAACTTCAAAGACACAATCGCTTTTGGAACGAATGATGAGTTGAATGATAAAAATTTTATACACAATTAATTTCGTTTGCATTTCCCAATGAGGAAGTATTTAAAAAAAATATTAGTTCCCGAAATCAAACTAGATGACGCTACGATACGTTCTTGATTCTCCATGTCAACCCTTCCGGATTTCTTTATGTTTAAAAGTAAATTAGTTTTCAAAACTCAATAAACAACTCATATTCTATTTGTACTTTTTCCTATTTGTATTGATATCTAAGTCTCGAACTTTCCAAATTTCGGTTTTTTATTATGTTAGTTAAAAAGAACGGAAATGACTGTCTTTGGTCCATTCGTTTCCTGAACAAATCAACTTTTGCTTGAGTCGCCATCTAGTGGAGGTGCTTTTTTAGTGCTTTCGTTTTTTTTTGTCATTCGTCATTGTTTTTAGATATTTTATACTATCATTTTGCTTAGACCATTCCGATTAACGTCAAACAAACGTTATCGATCATTCAATATCTTATAAAATCGCGATCGCAACCGCTATCATATGTCACATAGTTTTAGCGTGTAGTTCGTAAATATCTTTCAAATGTCAAATTTAAAGTGATAATGACAGAATTTAAAATTAGGCAATTAGACCACCGGTTTCTGAATTTGAATAGCCTTAACTACTCAATTTGAGAATTAGCAATGTACCAATAAAAGCATTTTACTATTCAATTAATATAAGAGTATATAAAATTACAATGTCGATCCCAATAATGTTACAAAATGACAACCCGATTAATAATTGGCGCAAAACTGATAGAATGTCAAAGTTACAGTGACAGCTAACTGACAGCTAGGGATGCCCGTAGAGTAATCAACAATTAGTATTCTATCCTTTTCCATCGAACAGTACATCCGTGGCATATAACATTGCGACTGCTCTGACCTTAGTCACGAGTAGCATCACGGTTTTAGGTGTACGTGCGGGGGGGGGGGGGGGACTGCGTATGGCAAACAAATTTAACAGAAGCAGTTACCACGTATTTCCATCTGATCGTCTAATAATCTTGTAAGTTAACGAAATATATTAACGGTTCGTACGTTCGTAGTGGAAGAAGACCAGGGGGCCAATTCTACTAAATAAATTTTGTTTAAATCGAATCGAAAACGGATCGAAACCGAATGAAACTACAGTGTTTAATGGTTTTCCTATTCTACAAAGTGACATAGTTTCGATTCGATTTAAACAAAATTTATTAAGTAGAATTAGCCCCCAGTAAGAAACTTGGTAGATTTATCCGTTTCTAATCTTTCGTTGGCGAGACGCTTAAGCGAGAGTGAATTTTATTAAAAATGTAACACACCCTCCAGTTACGTAAATCAATCCACAGGGTCTTAAACTCCTCAAAGCCGAGTCCGCCAACTTTGTCCAACATAGCGATCATACTTCTGCATACGTCCTTCGAAAAGCCCTCTTCTTTCAATTCTGCAATATTCCATATAAACTCACTTGAAATGTATACTTTGTTGCAAATTTATTAGAGTAATTTTATTAATTAAAAATATACTCTAATCGTAGGTTATAAGTTTTTTTTTTATCTAAATTAGATTGTATTGTAAAAATAATTCATAACGAAACACACAACATGATTGTCAAATTGCTTTTATATCATATCGTATATATTGCATAATCAATAATGAAGTAAAAAAAATAATGACTTCATTTATTAATTATTCTTAAAATTACAGAAATGGAGGTAAAATAAAGTCTTATCAACGAATCATATAAAATTTAACTTCTAATGATTTTAAAATGATCGATTGCGACACTTTAACTATACATTATCATATGAGCAAATCCAGTAAACCACTTTAGTACTTTTTATTCTGGTAAAAAAAATATACGTCATATACAATGTATTTGAATATACCGTTCCATAAATTTGACTCGAGTTGTCGTAAGTTTTAAACATGCCATCATTATTGAAATATTAGAAAAATATGCAACTTTAACAATATTTTACCTCATTATATATTCCCCAATGTTATAGTAAATTAATTTTGCATCTAAATTCGGTACTAAAGTCGGTACCGAGCCCATTTTTTTCATAAAATGTGATAGTTACTATTAATTTAATAAAAAAAAAAATGGAACAACACTACTTTTAGCATTCTGACTTCAGTATCAAACAATAATTTTGAAAATCTCAAACATGATGACAATAGCGAGCTGAATCATATCCCGCGACAAGAATGTAATTCAGACTGTGAAAACTTTCGAAGAAACTTAGCTCCAGATGATTTCGATAATCTTTCAGTTTCGCCCTACATAAATAATTATAATGTAATTAAAACACCTTCAACGATTTCCAATTTATCAGGCATATTGAACAACGTTGATTTCATAACTCCGCCGAGTGTCATGTACAAAGTTGGTTATATTGCTAGCTCTTCAATGAGCACAATAATAGGACTTGAATTTCAAATGAAGAATTTGATCGAAATTATAATGAGTAAGGTAAAGTGAGTGATGAATGTATTGTTAATATAAACAGCATCACTTTCTTGGATTTCGATGATTATATATTACATAATAGGGAATATGCACATTTTTGGATAATGTATTTATATGATAATTAACATCGATATATAACTGTAAAAAAATACCCGGCACCGAAAAACTAAAATTTTGTAGCATTAATAATTGGTGAAAATAAGTAATAGCTACGAGCAGTTTAAACAGCGGAATTTTTGGCGCGCTTATCGTGACTTCAAAGTACACGACTAGAGATATGACATTTTAAATCAATATGTATTTTGAGTGATTGATTATTATCTAATTACCCAAATCGATTAACAACTAATCGATTTTTTAAAGTATAATAAACTTTTTAACAAATCATATAGTTTACCAAAATGATGAAATAAAAATAAAAGCCTAAAAAATCATTTAAATTGTGAACTGTTTTTTAATTTTGCCATAAATACATTGATGTTATTGCATCGATGTTAACTTTTTATAACAACGACATCCCTATACGTGTACATTTTCGTCACATCCGCTCTGACAAGTAGCATGGCGTTTGAATATTTTGAAGTTACCGCATTTTTTAGTCAATTTTTAATAATTATTTTCAAGGCGAAAACGAATTAATGTTGAAAAATATTTACAGAGACTTTATTCTAAAGCAATAACGATTGTAATAAAATATATTTAACCCTTTTTTGAATCAGACGCATATTCCCATTATGACATAAATGGTGACAATATGAGCACTCAAAGTGAATCCAATACTTCAACTAGTACATTACAAACTACTGTTTTAAAAAACATCCACGAAGTAAGTCAGAACTATGGTGTAAATGTTGTCCAAAAAACAGAACGTTTATCATAGTCAGGTGGAAAGCCTGTTGACGAAATGAATCCGAGATAGGAACTAAGTCCAAAGAAGGAATAAGCCTGAATAAAAAAGCAAACGGAAGAAGAAAACAAGTCTGGAGCAGAAAATAAGACGGAAAAAGAAAATGGGTCTGAAGAAGAAACAGAAGTCTACAGTAAAATTTTGAATAGTAAACGAAAACGAAACACAAATTAGTGGCAAGATAAGAAGAATAAACTACTTAAGAATTCTGAGCAGTTTTATACCGGGGTCCGTTCTAAGAAAGTGTATTCCTCAAAATCCATTCGAAATCCTTGTAAATGCAAAAATAAATGCCGCGAAAAGTTCAATGAAATTGAAGAATTTGTGGTCATTAAGATCAGTGGCAATATACTTTAAGATATATAACACATAATTACATCAAAAGGATGCAAATAGAGAGGAATCACACTTAATTATAATAAGTTATATAATATTGCCTAAATTAATTATGAAAAAGTAATATTTTATACTCGTTGTCACGTGACCGCAAACAGCGAATGACTTCACCCCCTCCTTTTACGCAAATCAGAACTTAGAGATATCAACATGACGACGACATGACAGTAGTGGAATTTTCGCGGGAAATTTTGTAGAATAAAGTATTATATTTAGTATTACTATTGAGGAATGTAAAAAAATATCGATAACTCGTAATTTAAATATTAGCAGTGCATATTCTTATAGTATTAATCAATACTACATTTACTTTTAATCTACACACTTATTTCAACAAACAATTAATTAAAATTGTAACCATTTTCTCGGACAAACTATTAAGAACAGTGAATTAATAAAACCAATTTTAATACGAGTATATTGTCAAGGCTGCATAGTGTTGTCCTATTCTTATTTAAAAAGACCTATATTAGAACAGGACACATATATTAAATATCGAGTACAGTAAAACACAACTAATATGGCTCAAATATGTACCATGATGGATAAATTTTAAAAACTCGGCAAATGTCGGGCAAAAACGACGACTCGACAAGTGCTTACTTCTACTACAATTCTTAGGGGCCGTCCATTAATTACGTGAGGCTCGAAAAGGGGTGGGGGGTGTTCGGTAGAAATATCACAAGGGGGAGAGGCGTGTAGTAATACATCACGTATATTTATTTTGTCCTGAAACGCGATATTATTATAACGAAAAGCGGCGTCAAAAATTAAGATTTTTTGTAGTTACTAAAAATACACGCGATTTGGGTTGACGGGGGAGGAGGGTTAAAAATGCTGTAAAAACATCACGTGATAAAGGACAGCCGCTTACTAGTGTGAGTGAGAGTGGATATCTAATGCGTTTGTATTTCACACCTTATTGTTATTGAAATTAAACTCTTTATAAAATTTAATCTTAAGTTCGGTCATTGACGGAATTGGCTACGTGACTTGAAAAGTGTTTTAAAACTTTCTTATGATCATATTAAATCACTATCAGATTTATTTTTCCTCCAAAAAGTGTTATTAAAGGAAAAATTTTTTTTTACTCATTACTTTAAATTGACCTCCGATATCAATTATCCACAAGACATTTGGCGCCGTGACGTCACATTTCAATAAAATTTAGCACTGGTAGCACTCGCAACAATGAGGTTGATGTTTAGCTTGTTGAAATGTGATGTCACACGATGCTTCGTCTTGCCTGCGTTTAATTCTTATAATCCTAAGATAATAAATCGAAAGTTAATTTTGAAAAAATAAAATATACCTACAATTTACTTAAAAACAAAAAATACTGCATAGTTATTGTTTACATGCGAACGAAGCGACGATAATTTAAATATATTTGTGACATTTTATATATTACCCTCCCTCATGGCGTAGTCGAGTATCTCCTTCAGTTCCTGCCAGTCCACTTGTCCGTTGTCGCCGGCCAGACGATTGAAGAAATCACGCACCGGATCAGAAGGTTCCGGGTTTGGAGTTATTTCTTTCACCTGACACATATCCCAAAAGGTAAAATATGTAAATACAAACAAAGGTATAGGTATACAGTTTAGTTATTATTTTAAGAAATAGTTTAGATAAGTAGTTTTAATTTAATATGCAGCTTTGTATTAGGCATATATTAGTTTGTAGTTTAAATAGAAATAAAGGTATAATTTTGTTGAAGTACACGTCTGACGCGCAAGTGAACGCACTTTAAAGGCGTTAAAAAATCACTAAAATCTTTTGAAGTTTATCCACTGCAATAATATGGTCATACAAAAAACGGTAACATATCGAGTTTGTGGCCCAGTCGAAACAAATCTTAGATCCGGGCCTGGCCAATAGGGATGACGACTAATTTTTGTCGTCCGTCAGATAGTGTTAAAAAATATTAAACACGTATTTTTTTCGTAATCATAAAATAACGGCGATTCATGGAATTGAAATTTCGCATGACGTCACGTTATGGTACGTTTTCTACTCAACTGTGACGTAGCGAGCCCCCACTCCTCAACTTTAATGCCTGTTATCTAAGCTATTTCTTGTTAATTTGAAGTAAAAAAAAATACGTATTTAGTATTTTTCTATTATCTGACTGGCGGACTAAGTAGAATTGCATTTTTTTACCCAGTCATCATCCCTATTGACTAATTTATTTTTTGACTGATTTATTTATATACTTATTACGCTCAAAAAGACATTCTGAATAAAGCAGGTTTGGGTTATTAGTTGATTTCAATTAAAAACATATATATATACTAACTCTGTCATCGACGTCTCCCATGCCGATATCTTCATCATTTTCCCTAGAAACAAAATTAAAAATTATTATATAGGACCTTCTATTGTCGAACAATCGGACACCAATAGACTAATGACTAATCAACCTGAAGTCAATGAAAGGTATTCCCAACACGCCTTTATTTTGCTTTAATTCACGTCAACTGTTTGACGACTGAGGGAGTGGTTTTTATAGAAAAAAAAATGTTTTTACTATCTTTTCTCTCCTTAAGTTTGATTGGATGTTCTCCTTTTTCTGACTTCATCAAACACAACAAAAAAGAAATCATCCACATCGGTTCATCCGTCCTCGAGTTTTGAGTTTAACAATATATTTATTCATTTTCATTTACATATGTAATACTCACGCCATATTATTGCATTTCTCAGAGAACACGCGTATTAAGAACTCTCCCTCTTCATTCGGCTCGTACGTAGAAGGCACTATCACGTACCTGCCCGGCTCGAATTTAAACCTTAATGAAATAAATAGAAAAGTTGATTTTGAAATTTCATTCTCAGAACTTTGTATGATGTTATGATAATATGTATATATATAATAAATTAGAAGTAAATTGAATAATACATTTAAAATATTCTAATGAATAAAGAAGTTAATATTATTTTTTCTATTTAATATGAAAAAATATGCACAATCAAATAAATACTGTTAAAAATTGGTAGACAGGGCCCGCATGCGGAGTGCAGCGATTTCTGTGCATATTTGCATTCAATCAGTGTTTGACTGAATCTGAAAGAGTTAATGGGCCAGTGATGTGAGCCCGTAGGAATCATTCGTAGTATGTATGCGGGCCCTTTGGCCCAATGTAAATATGCCATTATGAAATTCAACAGTTAATACAAAAACCGCTAACGCTTTACATCGCATCAACACTTCCAAACTCTCCCCCCCCCCCCCCTTACATTTAAAATTAAAGCGTAGTTTACGTAAACAGACGCTATAGATCCCAATAAACATTACCAAACAACAACTACCAAAATACAACAAAAACAAAATATTTTGGATAGGTTTTAAGTTAAGGTCAAATCTGACTCGCACTTGCCCGTTATTTTATACTGATTGGTATCTAAACAAGTTAATACATAATAATATCTTTACCTATTGTAGGTTAGGAGATATATTCATTTTTATCTTTTTCATCTTATTATTACAGAAAAATAAAAATAAACTACATAGGTACATATGGACAAAATAAAATTTAATGTTCATTAATAACTAAAAAAACAACAACAGAGCACCCAAAAATAGAATACAATAAGTGATTTTGCAAATATGTACTTCTATTTCATTTGTAGTGCGATGATCTAGAGTTCGGTTCGGTGACGTCACAGGCGAGTTTGGACACCACTGACGTTCCGTGCGAAAACACGCAGTTTTAAATAATCTAGGTATAACTTGGCCATTTGTTAACGGATTTTAATTTTGTTTTCTGATTTATTTCAGTTTTGACCTGTATTTTTATTATATTGAGTTAAATATAATAATATCAACATAATGAAACTTCCTCAGTGCTCCGTCTACTTATGGAAATTATTATAAGAATATATGAAGATTAAGATTTTAAGGAGTACTCAATATATTTCGTCGGTTTAATTTCAATTTAGCACACGTGTTTAGAAACATTTAAATATTGCGCAATTTCAATGAAATGACATACATATAGATCAAATTGATGTCCTCCTTTTTTGTAATAGGTCAAAAACAAATGTCAATTATATTTATTACTAGCTTTTGCCCGCGACTTCTTTAGCGTGTTAGTTATTTTGGTTAATATATATTTTCCAAAGACGCAGTTGTTTTTCGAGCAAGTTCGAAGATACTACAACAAAAAAAATATAAACAAGTATCCAATATGTTTTAGCAAAATTCTTAGAAAGAAACGTTAGCGCAGCTTCAGAATAAACGCCATCTAGTATAGCAAAGCTTCAATTTCTTACTACATTTTATTTTAAAACTCCATCTTGAGCAAAACAGTGCAATGTAGAATACTTAACGTCATAGTACAGTTCAAAATATATATAAAAAAATTTTTTCTTTCATAAACGAAATTACTTCCATTTGAACATTTTTAAGAAAGACAAATTTTAAAATATTTTGTTTTGTTATCGCTATGTAATTTAATATTTGTTAGTAATATTAAATACATTTATTACAGTGACAAATTAAACGAAAAAACAATGGTTGCTATGGTAACATTTAGATTACCCATAAAATCTTTCACTCCCATTTTTATCCCTTTAAGTGCTAGTTTTCGGGATAAAATATAACCTACACCTTCCTAGGGCCATAAACTACCCAAATACCAATTTTCATCGACATCGGTCCATAAACAAAGAACTTTCATACAAACTGTTTCACCCTTTTTGACCCCCTTCGGGATGGAATTTCCAAAAATTCTTAGTACACCTCTACGTATTAAGGGGAATGTTCCCTCCAAATTTCAAATTTCTACGACCAGCGGTTTAGGCTGTGCGTTGTCTGTCAGTCAGTAAGTCAGGACTTTTGTTTTGTTAAGGATGCAAAAACATTAGACAGCAAAAAAAGTATTTAACATGAACCTGAACCTGGAGGCCTATTCTATTTATCCAAAAACGTATTTTTTAAATGCTAATACGACTTCAGAGAAACTCATTTTGCGATAATTTATGATGCAACGGACCTGACACTGCTTCTATGCACAGATAATCTTCACGGATATTGATTCGTTCGGGGACAAATATAATCCTCTCAGGTGTCATGTTAATTCGTACGAGATGTAATGTATTTGAACTAGGGTTTTCAATGTCGGGATACCGAGATCTCAATATCGCGGGAACCCGCATCTTTTCTCTGTTCCCGTGTTGCAGCATTATATGCGCGGGATCCGCGGGATTGGATTGAAACATGCACACGACCACTCGCGAGTGCGCTCGCTCATGGCTCGCTCGGTGACTGACATCGCATTAGGCAATGACGGACAAAATAACCCAACTTAATATTTAACGTCATAATTAATTTTATCAACATTCAGTTGAAAAGGTTTTTGTTTTATTTTAATTTAGTAGTAATATATTTTGTCGTTGAAAGATTTTTATTTTTCAGGACAAACAAAAGTGAAATTATGTTGATTATTTCTTTGTTTTATTTGCTTTGTATAAGTAGTAATATTTCTTTTTGCGGGATCCCAAAAATATCGAGATCCCGAGGGATCGAAAATTTCTAGTCTCGCAAATACAGAGATTGAATACAGGCTGCGGGATTGGAAGCCCTAATCTGAACACTCACCTGGCGCTGACTTCTCTCACATTAATGAACGACTGCGATCCCCCAACGGACATGTTGTTTTTGAAGAAGTTAACATCTAGAGGTTTCGGCACTCGTCCGTATTCGGGCAAGCGGTACACCTCGAAACCAATACTCAGGTCTTCCAGACCTTGATGACGTTGGGAACGACGGTTCTTCTGCATCAACGCTATGATGATCTATAGACAATTATCGTGTTATTAATATGTGAAATATATAATGATATATATAAGTACATTATAATAGCTCTCAGTTTTAATTCCCCATACAAACTGTCACTCCCTTTATCCGGGTTAAAATATAGCCAATTTTCACCGCATATGATATAATTTTTCAGGTAGTGTAAAATACTATTACCAATAATCACACTTTTATGCTTATTATATTTATAAAGTAGCAAAAAGTAATAAGTGCTTGGGATCGAAATGGGACTCAGAGTGCCATAGACAAAATTTATTTTTTTAAGCATATTTTTTAGTATTTCATTATTGCGAATGCAAAACTGATAAAATATAATAATTAAAAATAAATTAATTAAATATTATTACCGCAGATATAACGTTATGGGTTAGTGTAATATACTCACTGTACACTTGTTGTCATCGTCTCCTTCGTCCACATCCGTGAGTGTTACTGTATACTGCGGATTCGTCCAGAATGTTTCCAAATAGTTCCCACATCCGCCCGCCGTCACACCTGTATACGACATTTTAACAAATTGACTCTATTAACTTTACTCTTTGCTCGCTACTATATGAATGACGTTTAACATAAAAAAAATCGGAGGTGCGAGTCGGATTCACGTTTGAAGAGTTTCGTACCATCCATATTCATACTTAAAATGCGAAATTAACTATTACTATATAAATACACATTCTATAAATATTTTAATTAAAGTTGTTAACGATATCGAAGAAAAACAAGAAAAAAAAACACATTTACTGTATGGGGGCTTTTAAATATTTCTTTTATTTTGGTTTTTAGTATATGTTGTTGAAGCGGCAACAGAAATACATAATCTGTGAAAATTCCAACTGTCTAACTGTCTCGGTTCATAAGATACAGCCTGGTGAGAGTTGGTCAGCGAAGTCTTAGTAATAGAGTTTTCGTTTTACTCTTTGGGTATGGAACACTAAAAATTACACTATTGTCTTAGTTCTGCATTCCGGCGACAGAAAGTTGAAGTAATACATCATATAAAAAAATATCAAAAAAAGAAACTTCATCGATTTGTAATACAGTTAATCTTTCTGTAATAAATAAATAGTAATGTACCTCTAACCCATTCTCCTTCGAAGACGGACATCTCCCATTTCTTGGTGCATCCTTCAGGACACTCTTCTGGATCCAGAGAATCAGGGCTCAAGTTACAAATCTCCACTCTGTGATGTAGAGACGACAGCAAGTCAGGATACAAAAACGTTGCGAAATTTCTTCAAACAATTTTATTTTCATATCTTTTGAAATTTGAGTTATAAATTAATAGGTAGTTCTTTTTGATTTTTTTTGTATTAAATGACCCATAAGAATATTTAAGAAAAATTAACACGTTTTTTTGTAGTAAAATTAAAACAAAATGGTAACTTTTTATACCCGCGTAAACGCTGTCCGCCATAATCATGACGTCATTCCGATATGTAGACAAAACAGAAAATGAAGCCATCAATAATTCGTATAAATGTTTACCTGTCGAAGTGTTGAGTGAAATCTTTGAAGGACATCCAGAATTCACCGTCATCGTCGAATGTGAGACCTAACTCTTCCTTCTTTGATTCCGGTATTAAATGCCATTCCGGTGATCTGGTGTTGGTAATAAAATTTATACTATCGATTAAGCTGCCTGGCTTTACACGGGAGGTCAACGAACCTTATCTTGATAATTACTAAAAAAAAATATATTTAATTTGGGCCAGATTAGCTGTATTCCCGCGACTTCGCCCGCGTAAATTATAGGTGAAAGAATTTTTAAACTTGTTCCAGTAGTAACAAAAAAGCAAATAATAAAATCTTTAATTTTTATAATGAGGATGATGCCTGGATAAAAAAAAGAATATCTATTTATCCCGCTTGACAAATCCGCTATGTCCAAAGAGTAAATGTTATAATAATAAAATAATTCATTTCGCACCACAAATGACACAATATAAAAAAATAATAAATGACACAAACAGTAGATTAAGAAATAAGGTCACTTGTGGGTGACTGGTGCCTGTGTAGGTATTTAGACCCGTATTAAAGAACACCAGGCCACCGAATATATATTACATCTAGTGTATACAGCTAGACAATGTTTGAATAATTTAAAGTTAAGTTATTTATTAACAAAAGTTTATTAAAAAGATACGATAGCTGGGCCAAATTTGACCTCATTTTCGGCATCTTCGATACCACAGAAAACACAACATCCAGGACCCTCCTTCCCCAGCTACAACCCACTCCCTACTCATTTACAAAAATACATATTTAGCAAAATATTAAAAAATATATATTTAGTCGCGATAAATTAGGCCCACAAAAATCCGTCTTTTGAAGAAATTAATCGCGGCATTTCCATCTCTATATGAAATGTCGCAATAAACCCCTACCACCATTATTTATAATATTTATTGTTAGTTTAAGTATTATCTATTGAGTCAGCTAGAAAATTAAGCAACCCGATGTGACGCTGGCCCGAAGTGGCAATCTTACTAAAATTTCGGGTTTTTGCCCAATATGTTACCGGAAATCGCGCACATACTTTTCAATTATTTTATATTAAATAAACAAATATTAAATAACTCAAACTCAATGTTTATTTTACACTTTCGATTTTTCAAAAGATCAACTATTCAATAAAATCATTAGCAGTTCAAAAATAACAGCTTTTTATATGCATGATATATATCGATAAATATCAAGTATTTTTATATTTATTATAATTATCGGATTTTTGCGAACCCTAACTAAGGCATTACACTCCTCCGCCTTTGTACATTAAGTATTAAATAAATAAATAATATTGAATATTTACTTATCGCTCCATGGTCCATTCCACTCGGCCTCGTTGCCCCATGGGTTCCTTAGTCGCAGAAGCGGTATCTTCTCTGATAGTCCGGGAATCTCGATGTCGACATACTTAACCCGGGTGATAGAGTAAGCGTGACCACGGATCAAACCCTCAGGGGTTTCAGGGTTTTCGTTTCCTGACAAATCGTGTGGATCCGGCTAGAACAGAAAAATAGAAAAATTAACAGATATATAGAGAAATATTGATTCAGTTATATAATTACAATAAACTAGCTGTGAGTTACTAGCTGCGTTTAGATAAACTATAGTACCATTTTAAAGCGCTATTATAAAAAGCTAGAGGAAGTATTTTAAAAAATAAGTTTTAAAAGTAATTTTATGTATTTTTTGGGACAACTTACAAAACATACATATATTATATACTAGTTACACGTCATTCGTGGCTCATGCTTATGTGTTGTCTTATTTGCAAGCTGCCACTGCACTCGATAATGGTATAGGAAACAGCAATAACTAGAAACTACACATATTGATGCCAATTCTGTTTTGCCACTTCCTAAATTGTTCACAAAATTTATATTTTAGGTTTATTTCTATTGATAATACGCAATCACGTGCAAACAATGATATCTAATTATTACCCTCCTGTGTAATATAATATAGTAAGTTTATCTCTGATGTTTTAATTGTTAACAGAATTGAAAACGCAGTTTAACAGAATCAAAACCATATTAATCTATCCATATTAATATAAGATATTAATATAAGAGTGCTCTGAGGAATTATTCAACATCATTCCCCCTTCCTCCTTCCGTAACAGGTTAACACGTGCCGGTGCTGGCTGCCATTCCCAGACTATTGGTACTATACCAACTCGTACAAAAAAATTCGGCAAATCATATATTTGCCGTACCATTAAAATGTGGAACAGTCTCCCATCCCACATTTTTCCCATTAAATATAACCTTGGGTGCTTCAAAAGAGGTGTAAAAAGGCTCTTAAATAGGCCGGCAAGATAGTGGTGGCTACCAGGAGTAGTTTCGACTTCTGACAGCTGCGACTATTTTTAGACTGTAATATCACTTCGGTGTATTACAGTCACTTTGTCGAGCAACAATAAAAAAAAAAAATTTAGTCTTTTCAATAGAATTGCCACAATTACAATTCTATACTTACACTAAGACAAAAAATATTATTTTTATCTTTGAGGTAGGTTTCTTCCTAAGTTATGTGTGAAAATATTCATATCAAACGATCGTGACAGAGTTTTATATGTTCTAATAAGTCGATTAGTGGGGTATTGGGATTACTACAACATGATGATGGTACAAAGAGAAAATATTTATTTTTACGAGAGAGAGAGTTATATGGAACATTGAATTTTAGTTTTGTTAGCCGATGAAGACTATCTGTTTTGCCTAAAATTGGAATGTACAGTATAAAAAGGTGACCATATAACGCTTCCGTACTAATCTTCGTTGACGTACGTTTAAATTATTTACAATTTCTGATTAAAAAGCCTAGACACATGTATGCCTTTAAGGCTATTTTACTACTGTGTTTATCGAATTTAAGCTGAGTAGCAAAAATTACTCTTAAGATATTTTTTAAATAATTTTCGTTTTTTAATAAGTTTCTACTTAAGTGCATGTTGCTATTAAGTACCATTTTATTTTTGACACACCACTCTACAAGAATAGAATCTGAAGATGATTTTAGGGACTGAGCAATTTTGAGATCATCGGTACAAAGTTAGACAGAAGAGTGTAAATAAAAGATGTTTATACCGTTTATGAAAACATGGAAGGATATCGGACCAAGATGCGGGCCTTGCGGAACGCCTGATGATATTTTCGCCAATATACCAGTCTAATTTAGATGTAACCCAATTATTAATTTAAAATAAGTTTTCAATATTGGATTGAACAACTGACCTCTGTAGTACATCCCATGAGCGAGTTCCTCTCGTATGCCTGCAGTAGTATAGTGTAGAAGTTAGGCGGTAGTTCTGCTACATCGTATATTTCAGGTACACCACCCGTGAAATCTTCCAAAGCTTCGCATGGGGAACCACCAACTAAGGCTTCGTAAGACCCATGAAGTCTATACAAATAAATATGTAATATTAGACAACATGACATTCACAACTCAGATTAGCGTATTTAAAAAATAATTATGTAATATTTATTTATTTATTTATAAATTACAATAATAAAAACTAGTGCTACGCCTTTCTATTATTGTTGTGCCCGACAGGGTTAAATTAACTATATTAGATACGTATTTTTTTAAATAGCTTAGATAACAGGCATCAAAGTTGAGGAGTGGGGGCTCACTACGTCACAGTTTTGTAGAAAATATACTAAAGCGTGACGTCATGTGACATTTTAACTCAATGTATCACCGTAATTTAATGATTACGAAAAAAAAAACTTGATCAATATTATTTAACAATCTACCTTACAGATAAAATATTATTAAAAATTAGTTGTCATCCCAATTATCGTCGTTTCTGATTATTGAAACTGATTATAGAAATGAAAAATCTTGGAAGCCAAGATCCACTTTTTATTGTCTATCGATGTATCGATCTTTATCGCTAATATATAAGTTTATCGATCTATTCGAGATTCAGATTGAATTATTCATTTAAAGGTATTAGAAAATATCCATTTATTAATAATACTTTTAAGTCACTGTTTACTGTGAAGTATAGAACTGCCGCAATTTGATACTAAATAAATAATACGATTTTCAATTTTTTTGCTTGATGAGCTAACGGGAATATTTCGGCCCGGTACCGGGTCGCGACCCGGCAAATGGAGAACGCATAAATAGATTTTATTTTATATTAGGCGAAGTTACGGGAAAACAACTACAATAATAATATTAAAATAACTAAACATAAAAAAACACTCACTTAGCGTATGCTTTCTCCAGTAAAGCACTCCAGAATTCGTTGTTCTCTGATGAGGCAAGAAACACCAACTTGCCGCAGTAGGTCGGCAGACGATCGTCGATCACCACGTCCACCCATCTGCCGTACTGCCAGAACCTGGAGATTGTATTAGTATACTTTTAAATCGTCCGACATTTTTTAAACCTACCATTCGTTCAGGAGGTCTTTTGGCTGATGAGAACAACGAGCAAAACTCACCAGCTCTAGTAGAAGTAGAAGTAACGACGTTAACCATAATATTATCATATCAATATTAATAATATGAATTAATTATGTGTATGAGTAGCTCGGTGGCGTAGTGGATAAGCGCCGCGGCCCGCGATCGTAGTCGTTAAGCAACTTTCGCAAGGGTCGGTCACGGGATGGGTGACCAAAAAATTATTATCTTGAGCTACTCCGTGCTTCGGAAGGCACGTTAAGCCGTTGGTCCCGACTGCATTTGCAGTCGTCAATACCCTCCAATCCGCATTGGGCCAGCGTGGAGGGTCATGGCCCATCCTCCTTAACCATCCATAAGGAAGGCCTGAGCCCCTGCAGTGGGGACGTAAAAGGGCTGGTGGTGGTGGTGGATGTGTAACAAACAAGTCACATTCCATTTGACATTTATAAGATAAAGAGTATTAAAAAAAACACACAAACTTTTAAGCCGTTTTTTCGAATTTTGCGTATTTTTATTAACGATTCGTCTTTAATAGCAACTGTATATACATAGTTTAATTACTTGTGTCTTATCTTACCAATATAACTAAATATGAATATCATGGTCACAAATCATTTTTTTAAAGTTAGGAGATTGGGAATTCGTAGCATACATTTTAAATAAAATTATGTATGAGACGGAAGTAGATAATAATTACAGTATATTATGTGATATAAATAATTTAGCAAATCTGAAAAATTTTTTTTACCGGAAATGGAATACACCAGCGTATTCCTCATCAAAGCTTTGGTCGTCTGGAACCACTTGGAAGAACAATCTGAAAAATTAAAAAGTAAACAAATATGTAAGTGATATTCCCTAAAACAACGCAAAAGTTGTCGTGAAAGTATGGCTTCATTAGTTTCGGTTGTCAACAAGTGGCGTCAGTGTCAAATTATACTTTAGGCATAATAGGCAAATGTCTAGGGGCGCTAAATTTGACGAAACAAGTATCAAAGTCGCGTGATGTGTCGCGTGAAGTCAAAACCTAGTGATGTGGTGTTAGAGATCTCAACGTACAACAGCAGAAAGTGAATTTGTCCTACACTGTGTATAGAAGTAATATCATTTCAATGTATAATAATAAGTCTTGGATAAGTCTTGAAAATTATTCATAAAAGATTACTAAACTTTCTTGAATCTAAGAAATTGCTAGCTGAAAATCAGTTTGGTTTTCAAGTCGTTAAATCAACAGATAATGCACTTAATAATTGTATTAGCTTTCTTGCTGCAAAACTAGACGAAAAAAGAAATGCATCACCTTATTTTTACTTAGCTAAGGCTTTGATACAGTTTCTTTTCCAGAGTTATTTGACAAGCTGCATAAGCTTGGAATTCGAGAACAGTTGAAATTGTTCCGTGATTATATGAGTAGTCACACTCAATGTGTTAAGATTTAAGTAGTGAGGACGATCTTGCGACGTTTGGTGTACCACAGGGCAGCGTTCTGAGTCCATCACTCTTTGAAAACTTATTTATTTAAATGACCTCTGAAATCTACGTCTGGAAAACCGTACAATTATTTTATATACAGGTGATACAACTCTTACTTTTTATGGAGAAAACTGGAATGAAGTGTTTCATAGGTAAAACCCTATTAAATGTATCTATATCTTTATATATATGTTAATTGTAATTAATGGTTTCCCTGACTTCTAGATGAAATGATACTTAGTCTTTATTGTATTTTAAGCGAAAACTAATTTAAATTATCACTAATGGTAGGTAGACACTACTCTTTAACAGAAAATGAGGCAGGTCAATCAACGTATGGAAAGAGGGCATGATCATCTTTAAAATTCACCTATACACCAATGGACTATATGGCCATTAAATTGATAAAAAAAGTCTCGTTTCTATTGTTGGTATTGAGGGAATTATACAATAATTTTTAATAAGAGTAATTAATAATACTTAGACAACAACAAACAAGTAAAATATTATAAATACTAGATATTACACTACATCGAACACATAAATTCCTTAGAACCCAAATTAAGTAGTTTTTAGCTCTTATATTATGAATATCTGAAACAACGAAGGTGCCATAACACTCTGACCCGAGATAACATAGAAAAGTTAGTTCCACAGAAAATCAAACCGTCCTAACCGTCCGTAGGTCCCGCCTACGGACGTAGCACGAAAGGAAAAATACCTATCATTGAAAAATCATTACTCATAAAAGTCTTACTTTCTGTGAAGTGTAAGATTGGCGAAGGCGGCCAGTAGCCAACAGTCGCCCAGCTCTCTTTGCTGTACATCGAAGCGACTGTAGCCTTCCACGAATAATTGCGGATTGTCGCTGATTTCCTGAGACAAAACACTATTATAAAAGAAAAAAGCCAAGTGTATATTATTATCTTTTACGGTGCTATTAATAAACAAGGTTTAGAGTTAGAATAAATTTACGCTAAAATTGTAATTTTAATATTAGTCCAAATTTATATTATACAGAGAATAAGTTTTCTAGCACTGAATATTACTCCCGTAAAAAATCGTATTGGGTTAACCTCTGCTAAGCCTCTGTTTAATAATATGAATTTTTATTAATATTAAGTGCAGTCTCAACGTAAATTTACTCCAACGCTAATCCTTCTTTATTAATAACACTGTAACTGTGTATCTTTTAGCCAAGTGTCACATATATATTTTTCTAAAATTAGTGATGAATGAAGCTGTTTTAGTATTTGAATGTTTCTAATTTCCAGATTGTCATTTTTCTATTTTTTAGGGTTCCGTACCCAAAGGGTAATAACGGGAACGGAATATTACTAAGACTGTCTGTCCGTATGTCTGTAACGAGGCTGTATCTCATGAAACATGATAGCTAAATAGTTGAACAAAAGTAAAAATTACAATAAATGAAATAAAACTAGAATATTAAAGGGAGGCTATTACAAAATTTTTTTTATTTGCGGTTTTAGGGATAATGGTATGGAAACCTTGGTGCGCATGTCCGATACGCACATAGCCGGTTTTTTCTTATTAAAATAACAAAATCAAACTCTAAAATTAATAAATAAACGCGTCTTATGCGATGCAAATCCAAATGTTAAGGGGTTTTATTTCAATCACGATCATGATAAAGTCAGCCCCCTAATTGTCTAATTTTAAATCTATTGCAATCGCTTTCAGTTTGAAAGGTATTGCACAACCATTGCTTGTTTCTGAAGACAGTTGAAAAAAAAGTATTTGTATTATGCAACAATGGTTGTGCAACACCTTTCAAACTGAAAGCGATTGCAATAGATTTAAAATTAGACAATTAGGGGCAGATCTATCTATGAGATAATGTAATGACAACTCACCCCAGGTCTAAGCCAGGTGATGGGCTTATCCAATGTCTCCTTATAGAAGAGACTGCGGTCCACAGCCGGGAATTCAGGGTCTTCAAACAGTCTGCCTTCAGCTAAGCACCGCGACCTGATGTCCTTGAAATCCTGGTATGTCACTGGACCGAATGACGATGGACGGGTCTCGCCTAGCTGTAATAAGAAATATTATACATTGCAGAAATGTCTAACTATTTCTGATTGGTTTTTGATCTGTGATGAAGGTTTAATATCCTCAAAGCATCATCATTTTTTAGTTTTGAGGATATTAAACCTTGCTTTGAGCAGAAGAAATTCTTGAAGCACAGTTATTGAAGCACAGATTTGTCATTGTAATAAATTTACCTAATATTTTTTACAAAATGTTTTATTGTATAGCGATTAAAATTGGTAGTTGAGTACATAATTGGTAACAAAACATAAATTAGAAATAAATTATTTTGAAAATATTCAAGTACAAATAATTTTATGTACGAAAGAAAATGCAATCTAGACACATCGCACTGTTTTGTTTCAAGTTTTCAAATAAAATTTAGTAAGAATTTTAAGCTCTGCTATACGGATGAGTAACTCTGTAGTGTGGTGAATAAGCGCCTCGATCGTTGTTGTTAAGCAAGTGACCAATCATTTATTATCATGAGCTAATCCGTGATTTTGAAGACACGTTATGCCGTTAGTCTCGGCTGCATTTGCAGTCATTATTGCCCTCTAATCCGCATTGGGCCAGCATGGAAGCTCATGGCCCATCTTACTCAACCAATCCATAAGGAAGACTTGTACCCTTGCAGTGGGGCTGATAATGGTGATGGAGCTTAATCTCAAGTAAACTGCGTCATCGTTTTATTAAAAAAAGTTCCGTATATTTTCGTTTTCTATTTAGTTTTGTGTGGACATTCGATTCGCGTTTTTCTTTCTCTCTCTTCTTTAACCCAGTTGTCTACGACATATTTATTATAATATTAACAATTTCAAGTTTGAATTTTAACAGCTGTGAGTTTAAAAGTCGACCAAAGAATCGTGATTTATATTATTTTTATAGTATATTTATTTCGGTTACTGTCTGGTAATCTCTTATTATATGAAGTAATGAGCGACAAGGAGAATCATTAAATTATTCCATACATATATTATACATGCGAAATAAATCTGTGTTTATGTCAGTTACGCTCTCACGTCTAACCCTCTAAACAGAGTCGACTTGAGATAGCACATTATTTAGGTTTTTGTGATAAAAGAGTTGAAATATGGAATTAAAGTGTGTTATTGTCAAAGACAACTTTATTTCAAGTATTTTACATGAAATAATGAAACCATGAAACATTATTTCAAGTATTTTACATGATATAATGATTGAATATTCGTTTTAGAACTGCTGCCTAAACTAACTATACCACGCGGACGAAGTCGCGGACAAAAGCTAGTGTTTTATAAAACCCATTTACTAGCGTAGATTATAGAACAAAACATAAAAATGTTTGTACCTATAAATAAATTATTAAAGTAAAGACGAAAAGTAGAATAATGATAAAAATAACGATAAATGTGTTTTTCAAGAAAAAGTAAAAAATATAGCGAAATTATTCCGTTATTTGCAATTATGCGAAATTCAATAGTCAGTAAAAACCACTCATGACGTTAACAACGGTCCTGAAACGATTTTACATGCTTCGAATCAACTTAACAAAGTCTTGCTGCGGGATATTGTCCTAGGTCCTGAGAAGATGCAAAAAAAGTTGCTCTTCTGTGACAATGTTTGTAGGTAAATTCCTCGAAGCCCTTCTTTGGAGCATGTCCCACGCGTGTTCTATGGGGTTCAGGTCTGGTGATTGCGCGAGCCAGTCTAAGACTGATACATCGTGCTCCTGCAGCCAGCTGGTGACCACTCGCGCTCATGCACGATAATGCTCTTTCCCGAGCATTGTCGTACATGAGCGTGAATTCTTGACACATTTGTAGTCGATGTGGGTAGACTATTGGTACTAGCACTTGGTTGAGGTATTTTTCAGCGGTCATGATGTTTCTGATCCAAACGAGGTCTGTTCACCAACACGAATTCCCGCCCAAACCATCGTCCAAATCCAACCCAATCGTCCCGCGATGGTATGAATGGACTTCCTGACGGTGTTGCAGGCGGCTCTCACGACCAGGAGTTCGCCATACGCTTACTCTTCGCGAATCTGGATGGATTGTGTTGTTAATATTTTTATCACTTACCACTGCGTTGACGTTGACAACAGTGCAAACATCTTCCACCAGTTCTTCCACGGCACCACTTTCATATTCATCAGCAGGTAATGCCGGATACAATTTTCCCCCAGTGCTTAAAATGATATCTTCTTCGGTAGACAAGTTTGGCTTCTCGTCCGTACTACCTTTGCCTTGTTCGTGTTTCAAAAACCCGCGAACTGCTGACGCCGCACTCCCGCCTCTATGCCATCCCCAACCATGGGCGTGAAAATTTTTCGGATAGTAATTAAACAGGGACATTGTTTTCCCTCCCAAGAACAGAACACTCGAAATAGACGTTCGTTCAAGACGGCGTGCAGGAACGGTATGTTTATTTGGCTGAAACAAGGTTTTGATTTTATATAGTGAAACGCGTTAATTTTTTTTCACGTTACAATTGTTTCCGGCATCGTATAGGGCAGGGATGGCGAACCATTGTCACGTGTGCCTGCAATGGCACGTGGCATAATATTTTTGGGCACATCTTTAATCACAAAATCCAAGTTTGTTATCATGTAAACCGCAACAACAGAACTCACACAAAGGAAAACTTGTTTTTTTTATAGAGGCTGGTACTTTATACAAATTATCTCGAACCAAGCATGAAGTATAGATGCTATAATATTTTTCTTTATAGTGGTTAGATTTTTTCGGAATAAAGTACCAATGAAAACATTCTCCTTTTACATAAATGTAAATTACGCGTGTAATTTAAATAAATGTAAATCACGCAATAAAACATTGCAAAATTTTTATAGTAGATAGAGTGACTTGATAGTGTTTATTATTATTATTTTCCCAATAATCACAAAGTCAAAATTATTTGATGGCACGTCTATGACCTCATTAAAAAAATTTCGTTAAAAAAAAATGGCACGTCGATACATAAAGGTTTGCTATCCCTGGTATAGGGTTAGTGTTTTAACGGAGTGAGTCATTTGATTACTTGTTGTCGATGATACTTTTAAAATAGGTAAATCTAAAAGTTTCCCTAATGTATGTAATTTTTGTTGAAAACGAGTTAGGTATGTTCTTTTTATAAGCCGTACGAAATTGTAATACATTAAGGTTGTCATTATAGCTTCCTCTTGCTCTCATCATGCCAAAAAACATTTCTGAGTGATCTTGACTCACTTTATATAAAGGTAAAAATCTCAAATTTCTTTTGACAATTAAATCATCGAACATATTGATGCCTCTTTGCAAGGATACAGTAAAACCTATGCAACCCGTTTTGCGACCAGGGGGCCAATTCTACTAAAATAGATCTGGAATTATATCGTATGTTACTTTGTAGAATAGGAAAACCATTAAAAACTGTAGTTTCATTCGGTTTCGATCCGTTTTCGATTCCATTTAAAAAAAAAAATATTTAGTAGAATTGGCCCCCTGATTCTATTATTAACTTACCATCTACACCAGAGGTTCCCAAACAATTTTTTCTCGTAGACCATTTCAAAAAATCTACTGGTTTCGGTGGACCCCCTGCTGCTACATTTTTACCATATTCCCAAAATTCGTCCAAAATGTGAAGATCTAACGATGGAAATTGGCTTCGCGGCCGAGTTCCAACCCAAAATTCGGAGTGGTAAAAATGAATAAAAATATTACATTTTCTTGCGATCTATTTATTGAAATAATAATGATAACAGACTAATAGAATTAAAATGAAACACTTATATAAAATAATAACCAGCTTCACAGTTTGTTTCCTGGTCTTATTTCAAGATTTAATTATGCGCTATGAAATAAGTAAAAATAAGGTATATGTATTTCGAGATAAATCACATCAACTAAGACGCCTTTGTTAATTTTGATGTTAAAATTGGACATGATTCTTAATTATTTTTTCTATTGAAATTTACATATATATAGATATTATGTTGCATATACACAAGCACATTTCATTGTTTAGAAATCTTATTTTGAAAAATGACACTGTGTTTATTAATTCGAGAGGTGGAAACCAGGAGTGCCATAGAACGAGGTCTATCTAGTTCGGACTCCTGTCTTCAACATAAACTTGCTGTATTTGTATGTTGTACACATGTGTTGCTCAAAATGTAAAAGAAATAAATAAAGATTAATATTATTATTAGATAGATAGGTACAAAGTTTAAGCATTTTTCATAAAGAATTTTAAAAATGTAACAGAAAAAGTTTAACTTGATTTTTTTTTTCATTTTCTACTTCGTCTTCTAAAAGCATGATTTTATAATTATTTTAAATTTATAAGTTATTAAATGTTTAAATCGATTAGGTATGTAGGTATAACAAAATTCGTCATGATTATTTGGAATTTCCGAACTTCAGTTAAATATTAACTAAATGCAGGACAAATAATTAATTAATTAATATCGGAAACAATTTATAGGGGAAGTAAACCACATTTGGAATTTTGATCTAAATAATGTTAAAATTAATTAAGGCAAATAAATGTAATAAATTTAAAAAATCGAGTTGTTAAATTAAATAAACAAACTATGAATTATGAAATAATGAACATATACTTTATCATACAATATAAGTAACTTCATAATTATATTTTTATTGGACATAATTTTGTACAAAAGTAATTTCTTCTAGAGTATACAGAAATTAGAAGTACGTACAAGTTTTAACACTATAAAAAGGATGCCTAAACAAAAAAATGAATTGAAGAAATACAAATAAGATGTAATTTAAAATAAGATTTTAATATACTTTGTTTTAAAGTAAGAAATAATACATAAGTCTGGCGAAGGTTCTTTTTTTTCATTTATTTTGGTATCAAACAGTCACTTACTTAACAAATTTTGTATGATTAAATGTGCTTTAAATTACAGACCAATAGTACCTTAATGTTTATATTTTTAAATAAACATTAGAATCTACATGATATGATAACATAAGCATGCATACAAAACAAAATCATCGGGCAAAAGAATGATTTTGTATAATACATAATACATATACATTGCTCTTAACCAAATCATAGTATATATATCTTTTAATTTCGTCTTCAATACATTAATTGACAAATTAAAAATATCGAGCTCTGAGAATTCTTTTTTATAAATGTTGTTGGAACGATAAAAGTAAGAATTTCGTGTATAAATTTTATGCAATTTTTGAAAACAAAAAATGATAATTTACTTGAGGGACAAACTAGAAGACGAATGCAATGTATGTGTATATATATCTATATATATAGGATTAAAGTATATATATATGTATATGTTTATAGCAGAGGTGCCCAAACAACGGTTTCGGTGGACCCCTGCTGCTACATTTTTACCATTTTCCCAAAATTCGTCCAAAATGTGAAGATCTAACGATGGAAATTGGCGTCACGGGTGAGTTCCAACTCTAAATTCGGAGTGGTAAAAATAAATAAAAAATAGTATATTTTCTTGCGATCTATTTATTGAAATTGTAATGATAACAGACTTAACAGAATTAAAATGAAACACTCATTACGTTACGTAACTTCAACAATGCAAATCAATAATAAAAAATACCCTTAATTTTAATGGGAGGGATGTACTTGATAGATAGACAGCAAATTATCGATTTTTGGCTTGAGTTTTGTAAGGATTAACCGAAAATCTCCCCGTTCTGTAATGTTTAATCTGCTCCTTTTTTTTTAAAACGACACTAAAACTTTTTTCGCCAAGGTATGACGAGAAAACACTATCAAAAGTTTTCTCGCGATTTCCCACAGCCCTGGATATTTTTCGGGTATTTCTGCCTGCACCCAAAACCTTTGATAGCCTTTTTTAAATTGCACCTTCAGTTCTTCATTGGTGCTGAGCTCGAGTAGTTCCTCTTGTAATCCTACCACATTCGCCACTTCCGTTTCATCAAATGGATTTATGATCCATGGTGGTATTTCCATCATCAAAATATCTTCAAATCTGTTTTTTGAAGTCATGCAGCGCATTTAACTGCTAAACGTAACTCTGAATATCGTCATCAATACTTACTGTATGTGACAAGTTTGGAAACTGTGAGAATTCACGCCGACTAATATTTTGCTTCATAAATTTCAATTTTCCAAGAAAAGCCGAAACTACACTCTTTGTTTTTATTAAATTTAGGCTATCCCTTTGTAACTGCAAGTTAATGTCCTTATTCTTTTTAACAAATCTGTCAAATACGCGATGTCTGCTTTCCATTTGATCAAGTTTTCTTTTAAATCTGGATCTTCACTTTCCAGAAACTCTAATGCTGATTCAAAAAGTAAGTAAAACCTTGTTAAACACGCACCTTTCGACAACCAGCGTACTTCAGTGTGTAAATCAATCGTTGGAAGTCTTCATCATTTTCGTCGCACAATTGGGCAAATAAACGAGTATTCAACTATTGCTTTTTATGTTATTAAGTGCTTTATTCACGAGTTAAAGTCGCGAAAAATTAGAGTGATAGATTGCATCAATCGCTTTACGAATGATGCAATCTGCAATCGCTTTACGATTGATGCAATCTGCAATCGCTTTACGATTGATGCAATCTATCACTCTAAATTTTCGTTACCAGGTGTTGTCAGTGGATGACACAGTGTATTGTGGTTACTCCTGGTATTATTCTTTTAAGATGGCTAATAAACCCACGATAACGTCCGACCATGGCAAGAGCTCCATCTGTTGCCACCGTAATGATGTTTGTAAATGGAATCGATATCGATAATTTAATATAATCGATAATTTTCTTGAAAAAATCGTCCATTAGCTGAAATATTGATTCGCCTTTAGTGTCCGTCTCTAAAGTTTTCGCGAATAGCAGCTCTTCATGGATTCCTTCGTCCATAATAAATCGAACATATGCCAATAATAATGCTTCATTACCAATGTACGTTTCTCGTACATTTCTCGAGTCAGCATTTTATTTATTATTCGAAATTAATATTTTAACCTACTTTCACTTCAGTTCGTTTCAATACGTACCCCTAGCTAGTATCATTGGTATTTATTACTAAAAAGTTATCAGTTAAATCAGTTTTCCTATCAAGATAACCATATCAAGATCATCATCATAATCAGTTAAAGGTGTACAGACCGAACATATTTATGGTCCTTCGAGCGAATTGTGTGATAGGGATTCGGTTTAATTGGCCTGCCAGAAGCGGGTCTCACCAGCTAGATTGAGAAGGCGCATATATCGCCTAGAGTGCGAAAACG